TGGCCCCCATTAAATGAGGAGATAGCACAGATTTCTGAAGTTACATAAGCACAAGGCAACGTTTACCAAGTGGCACCTGCAGGTAGTGGGTGCTGCCACACTGAAAAGGTTGAGATTCACAGAATGGCATTGCAGCCAGTGCTTCCTGGGCCTCTGAACACTGCTAGTGAAGGATCTCCTTGGATACTTATGTTCCCAAATGAGCTGCATTTAATTTTAACCAACAAGAACACTCTCAAATAGCTCCCAGCACACAACTCAGGGAACATCTCTAAAACATCCCAGTAGGGCACCGATGGGGAGGATGCCAAATCCAGGTTCTGCGTGGTGAGCTGCGAAGGTGGCTTTGAGTAAGGTGGGCAGAAGGCAAGTGATAAAAAGATAACAACAGAGGAAGCTCCAGGATTGCATGGGCTCCAAGAACATCAGTCTCAGAACCCTGCCTAGGACCAGATGAGAGACAGGATATGCGAGTCTAAGGGAGCATGAGCAGCCTGACTCACTTTGCAAAACACTGCCCTTTCTAACAGATCATCAGATTTGTGGTGGGGGTGGGAGGGGAGATGCTGCTGGTCTGTTGCCTTCCATCCCAGGTTTAAGACTCCAAACCCCAAAGCTCCTACCTACGAAGGGACCTACCAACATTCTGACAACTCTAGGGACTTCCGTTGTTTTGTTCTCCATCTGGTCTACTTCCTCCGTGAGCAGTGGAAAGAAATAATCCCACTTGAAAAGAAATGTGTACCCTGTTTAAGAAGGGCTATTCCTCAAAAACATGACTGAGGACTTTCTCCGGAGGAATGGGGCATTGTGAGCCTGCTCAGATGACCCTGTTCAGTGAGAGAGAGGCTCCTGGGGATCCCCAGGGATTGGCCCCTGGGGAAGACCACTTTCCATGTAGATGAAAGCCTAGCCTTTGAAATGATTTGAGGATCCCCTTTCCCCCATTCCTCCATTAAGAACTGAAATGTGTCCTCAAGCCAGACAGACTGCACACATTGCATTTCTGCTATTTCCCAGGAAAAGTGTTATTTTTAAAGCAGCTTATTAAGATATAATTTACATATAACCAATGGTGGTATACCCATTGCTTCATTTTATTTTGTTTTAAAAGAGGTAAGATCTTGCAAGGTTGCCCAGGCTAGCCTCAAACTCCCCAGCTAAAGCAATCCTGCCTCTTTCTCCTAATAGCTGGAACTATAAGTGTGAACCACCATGCTTGATTGGTATACCCATTTTAAGTGTACGATCTGATGAGTTTTGAAAGATATGTATACATTTGAACTATCACCGTAATCAAGATATAGAAATTTCCATTAACCCAAAAAATGTGTGTTTCTTCCCAGCCATAAGCCCCTCTCCCGGAACCCCTACTCTCAGGCAACCACCTACCTACTTTCTGTCATTGTATATTAGATACGCATTGTTTCAAATGTCATATAAATGCTACAATATGATATGTAACTATTTGAGTCTGGCTTCTTGCAATTTCTTTTTTTGTGGAGTGGGGGATTGAACTTGGGGTCTCACATGTGCTAGATAAGCACCCTACTACTGAGCTATGCTCCCAAGCCCACTAAGCATAATGGTTGAGATTCAGCCATGTGGTTACATATTTCAAAAGTTTATTTCTTTTTATTGTTGGGTAGTGTTCTGTTGCATGGATGTATGCATCACAATTTGTTCATCCATTCACCAGTTGAAGGACTTTTGAATTGTTTCCAGTTTGGGACTATTATGAATGAAGTTGCTATGAACGTGTGTAAAAGCAAACAAAACTTGGAAATTGTAGGAAATTCAACGGAACAGTCTGGCAGGTGATAAACAGGCAGCTCTTAAGGAGAGTGGCAGGAGCCAAGTTGTTGAAAGTCAAGTTGAAGACCAAGCAATTGGTTCTGTAAAAAGCAACTTCAGCCAAAAATGGGTGGGGAAAAAGCCTATACTGTCCAAAGAGAGTACTGCTGATCAGGCACCTTTACAGCATGGGAAAAACGGGTTGCGACATCATTGGCAGGACAGAATAATATATACGCTTTGTTATTTTGACAAGAACTGGAATTGAGCCAATAGACCCAAACTTATTTTTCCCGGCTACTTGTTCAGGATCTGTGTGATGGCCTGTCCAGGAAACAGAGACAAAGAACTTTATATGCAGAGTAAGAAAGACTTCACTGATTATGGAGCCTTGGACAGGGATACATAACCTCAGCAAAAGGGCATAAAAACACTACTTACTGAAAAGACCTTTGAGAGAATAAAATACAAATCTATTGTAAATCACTTTGCAACTGTCTAGCACATAACGAAGGATGTATTATGATTTCAAATCATGCAATACCTTTGACGTGTAGTAAAAGAATCCAAATGTTTCCTTGGGAAGTCACAATGTTTCAATGCATTTTCTGTTAAATCACAACGGAATTCTTCCTCTACACAACCACTGAAGATAAGGATCAAGCAAAATGTGGTTAGATTTTAGAAGCATATGGCTCATAAAGAGTGGGTTTGTCATTAGTGCATCTCCTGGGTCTCAGCTCTCTCGGTTCCAAAGTTCCCACCACATGCTGGCCAGGCCAGAAACCTTGCCTGGGGGGTTGTGAACAACTCCAATTCCTGAGCACTTCCTCAGGAGCTCCGACTCGGGGTGGGAGTGGAGAGCAGATTTCTGGAGTCTATTCCTCCGGCCCATTGGGGTTCGCGGATACTCTAAAAGGGGTCGTCCTAACGGATTTCAAGGAGCAAGAGTTGGAACTGGAGGACTTGGGTTTGAATAACGGCTTTAACACCCCTGTCCCCAGCACACTTTGCTCCAGTGTCAGCCTTCGGAAGTTCTTTCCTCATCTCTACTGTTGGGTAACAGCATTACTCATTCTGCCTCAACGGATCGCGTTGGCCCTCTTCTCTGCATGCTTCATTTTATCATAGCTTTCCTTTTCCCACCATCTCCGAGGTCCACTGGCTGCATGGCATTCCAATGAAATGGGGCTGCTTTAAAGTGACTCCGGAATCTCCCCTGAATAGTCAGTGTCGCCCTAAATGTTCACCTGCTGGGAAAGGTGGGCTGCTCTTCTGCCTCACCAGGGCTCCAGCTAGGGTCTGGCGTGTGAGTTAATTCCTAAAGGACTGCACTATACCTAAGGGCCTGGTGTCGGTGGGGTCGCTTATCCCACATACCACCCCACCCACAGGATCCAGGGATAGCTCGCCACTGGGCTCCGTTCCTCTGCCCCCGCCCCTCCCTCGCGCGGGAAAACCCCAGGGCGCGCCCGCCCTTTTGCAGATTCGCTTCCATCTACTTCTCCCGCGCTCCCCCGGGCTTCCTGCACCTGGTACCGGCCGTTTGGCTCCCGGAGGTGTCGGAGGGCAGGTTATGCCCCTTCCCCGCCGCCTCCCGCGCGTGGGCGTGTCCCCCGGCTTCTTTCCGCCCGCGCCCCTAGGGCGAGGAGCAGAGTTGCGGGGTCCGCGGTAAGCCCAGCACGCCCCTCCCTCTCCCCGCCCCCTCCGACGGTCCTGGTTGGGCCCAGGGCACAGCCCGCGCCTGGGAGCCGCGAAGGGGCGGGGCTGGGCCGCGGCGCGCGGGCGTTCGAATGCTGCGCGCCCTCCCATTGGAGGAGCGCCGCGCCGCGCTCCGCAGGGGCCGCCGCCTCCGCTCGTCCATCTGCGAGCTGGTTTCCTACTGTCCGCCTGCGGGCGGCTGCTAGGTTTTCCTCGCCCTTCCCTCCTTTAGAAGAAAGGGTGGCGGTGCCAGGAAAATCCCGCCCTAAAATACCTTAGAGTGCTCTGCTGCTCAACAGTCACACCCGGCTGTTTTGAAATTGCATCCTTATTGAGGAAGGAGGTACAAAAGCAGAAGCTAGCACGTACTGGGAATTCCTTACTGTGTGTGTATATGCAGTTATTTTCGAATTTCCTTTTGAAACAAGAATTATAATGAAAGGAAATGCTATTCAATAATGGAGCAGGGTGTTTAAGAAAAAGTTCAAAAAGTGAAGCCAGAATTAATTTTGTTGGAAAGAACGTAGCAAAGCATTACTTTTCATTTTAGTTTAGACTTTGCTCTAGTACCCTTTTGGCTTGTAGTAAGTACGATGCCACTAAAGGGGAAAAGCGGATTCTCATATTTTCTCTCTCCATCCCCTCTCGTTTTCCAGTCCAGGGCACAACCACCAGAAGATAACCGAAAGAAGCCAGTTTTGGGGAAACTTGGCACTCTATTCACGGCTGGAAGGAGAAGGAACATCAGAAACGGGTTAGAGAGTCCCAGCAGTTCAAATATCAAATCAGTCCCTCCCAAAGATGTGAGAGAGAGTGACCAGAGCACGTCTGAGAGCAGCGAGCCCAAGCCACCGGATGCGTGCGCGGAGGGCTCCCCCCAAGAGACCAAGGGCGAACGAGGTATCCAGGCAACCTCCGGCGACGCCGAGCTGTCACCTTGCTCCATCAGCAGTGCAGCGGCTGAGCAGCAGTGCCATGAAAGTGATTCACCCCAATTAGCACCTCTGCAGGCAGAGGGAGAGACTTTCCCAGATGCCACCACCGCTGCCAAGCAGCTGCATTCCTCACCAGGGAACTGCTCGGGGCGAGAGAGCGCAGAGACGCCCGCCCGCGGTCCGGGGGAGGACGCTTTGCCTGATGCTTGCCACCAACCGGAGATATTCCGGAATTCCAGGGGTGCATCGGAGCCACCCACTAGGGAGCGGCCGGTGGGAGGACCCGGCGAGGCTCCTGACGGAACCCCCCGCGAGGGTGCCGAAGGAGGCTCCCTGGGGCCTCTAGACGCGCTCAGCCAGCCCCTCGAGGACGCATCTGTCCTGCCAGGTGATCCTGCCACCCAGGGCGCGGACTCCCAGCTATCCCGCGGCACCGCGCGGCCCGGCGAGCGCGCCCAATCTTCCAAAGTGTTAACTTTGGACATCTACTTGAGTAAGACTGAGGTGGCGCAGGTGGACGAGCCGGTCGTGATTACTCCCGGAGCAGAAGATTGCGACGATTCGGACGACATGGACAAGAGGGCGAGCGGTCGCAGGTCGGGCAGGCGGAGGAAGTCGCAGAAATCCACAGATTCCCCAGGCGCAGACACTGTGCCACCGGAGAGTGCAGCGCGGGACGACGCGGTGTTCGACGACGAGGTGGCGCCAAACCCCGCCACCGAGAACGTCTCTACGGAAAAGAAAGTGAAATCTCCGCGGGCCGCCCCGGACGGGGGCGTTGCCACCGCGCCGAGCCCCGGCCCCAAAGCGCAACCACGAGGGGAATCGGAGCGCAGCAAACAACCGCTCCCGGCCACGTCCCCCACCAAGAGGAAGGGCAGGAGCCGCGTCCCCGAGGCTGTGCCCAGTCCGCCCGCCGGCCCTCCGCGGGCCCCCGCCAAGGAGTCCCCACCCAAGAGGGCGTCGGCGCCGGACACCGGCCCCGCAGCCAAGGGCGGCGCGGAAGAGGCGGCCCGGGTCATCCCGCGCGAGCTCACGGTCAAGAGCAGCTCGCTGCTGCCGGAGATTAAGCCCGAGCACAAGAGGGGCCCGCTCCCCAACCACTTCGACGGCCGAAGCAAAGAGCTGGGCAGGTCGGCCGGACCTTCCGACGAAGCTCTGAAGCCCAGGAACCACTTCGGTGTGGGCAGGTCGACCGTGACCACTAAAGTGACCCTGTAAGTAGCTGCGGAATTAGTGCGGGCAGAGGTCCGCTGGGGGGCTTTGCAGTGGTGGAAGGATTGTCTGCATTTAATTTTCTCCTCTGTGTTGAACTTCAAAGTGTGAAGGGCCGGTTCACAGACACAGGTTTCTGTATCTGTGACATAGCCTCGTGGGTTAATCTCTATTTTAATACAAGATCTAAATTTACTGAAGTAGGATATTCCCTGAGGCTCAGTGTTTACATAAATAATAGAGATAAGACTTCATGGCTTGATGTGAGCTAATTATGTTCTTTATCCAAAACGTCCTCTGGCATTGCAGGGTAAGATGTATTAAAAACACACATGGAGCAAACATTTAACATGTTCAGGGTGACCCAGGAGGTTTGACATGGGTGAGTTTAAGAGGATTCACAGAACCTCTTATGGAACTTGGTCCTGAAGCTTGAAGGTGTCTAATCCATGATTCTTGGTGACTTCTCCTTCTAGTGAGATTAGAAAGCCCGCTGATACTTTTTTTTTTTTTCACTCCGGGATGAAAATTAGTTTTCAGTTATTGAAGAAAGACCAGTGTTCTTTTTTGTTGTTGCTTTTTGGTCCTGGCCTTGCAAATGGTGGGCAATTGCTGTACCTCTAGTTATATCCCCAACCCTCAGATCAGTTTTCTTACTGAAAATTATTCTATAAGTGAAAGGGCACAGAACAGACTGTAACTACAGCTGTTAAGTTTAATGGTTTTACAAATGTTTATTGAGTATCTTCCATGCCTGATACTGTACTGTATACTATGCAGGAGAAATCCTACAACTGTGATTCACCTTATTGCTCTTGAAACGTTTATGGCCCCTCTGGCACACCAGAAGCACACAAATCAAATAAGAATGTGTGGCCTCTGATTAAACTGCCAAAAGGATTCTACCATTGTAAAGGCTGGCTCATATTCTCACTTCTTGGCCTTTTGGCTAAGATCAAGTATAAAGGGTGGGCAACTGCAGGGAAGGAAGAAATCACTGTTGGTTTTTTGGAGGAGCTGGAGCTAGTCCCTTGTTAACAAATGTGATTTGTACAGGTTGGCAGGACAGGGAGGGTAGTCTGTAAAACAGAAGATTCTGCCTTTCCACCTTCCTGCTCTCCACCCTTCTGTACAGGTGAAAATGATTGTCATGTTTATTCTGCATTCTCCCATTTATTTACCAAAAGAGCTGGTGATTTGCTCAGCATTGTCATTCTTGAATGGTTGCATTCTGTTTGGTTTCTGGAGAGGTAAGCTTGGGAATAGGAAGTCTGCTTGGAAGGAAGGGGAGGAAAATGTGCTTAATAAGTAACTTCTCCCACTGCCAGTCTGGAGACCTTTGACATAGTCAGTTATTTATTCTGTAACGGTAGCGTCAGAGAATAACCCGAGTGAATGATGCTCATTATTTGCAGAAGGCCAGTGTGACCCAACACTGAAACCTCCCAAGTGCCAGCTTAGAAAAACTCTGCTGTGTGCTGGATAAGGATGCATCACCTGTCTTCCAATCAGGGGACAGCAATGGACAAACCAGAAATGTTACACAGTTCAGGAATAGGGAAAACAAACAGGAGCTGCTTCCTAGTAGAACTAAACCAAATGTCTTTTTCTCAGTATTCATTTTCTATCTAAAATTTCATTTCATTTTGCACAGTGCCTGCCTTACACAGGGTGAATTGGAAAACTATTGAAATGGGAAACTAGAAATCCTTCTTTCTAGTCCTTTGACCCACTTCTGTATGGCGGTTTTTTCAGACCCTTTAATTCTTATGATTGTATTTTAAGTAAAAATGTTAATCAGGTTATTTTTCAAGGACAATTTGAGTGAAGAGGTAGAAAAACTGTATACCTGAAAAATGACTATTAGAAAAATCATTTAGTTCTCTAACAAGTGCTGAAGGTTGAAATTCTTAAGGTGGTATGTTTAAAATGGGGAGAATTTTTCTCCTGTAGTCTAACTTTGGCTTTTTATTCCCCTCTCACATTATAATGAAGGCATTACGACATGAATTATAGGAGTTTTCCTTTTAATCAGTCTGAACTAGGTTAATTGCAGTGAGTGACTCTTGGTAGCAGAACTTAATAGCACAGAAAGTCTGGTTGTAAAAGGTATTTTGATCTCGGCGCGCATCTTTAATGTGCAGATGTGTTTCCTGTCCTTAAGGTAGCTGTTAGCTAACCTGTGCTGTTTTCCATTTACATCATAAGATGTAAATGCTTTGATGTTTGACTTGAGTGCTGTTCCTTGAGCTGATGAATGAATTTTTTTTTTTTTTAGTCTTCCCTGGTATGTGACCATCACTCATTAATTGGTATAGCATTTGTAAGCTCTCTGTTTTGGAGTTTAATCTTTTAATTTTGCTTTTCAATTTAAGATAAGGGAGCCTAGATATTTTATGGGGTTAGTAGAGAAAGCAATGCTTGGGAAATTTACGAGCATGTAAATTTCATGCAGTATTTAAATAAAATTTAAAAAATGAAAATCTGACTTCCCATTGGGGGGAGAACGAGGTGATAGCTAGATATCTCATACAGAGTCCCACTGCCTGATCCTCTGCAGCCTCCCCAGGACCTACCTTAGTCAGCAAGGATTTCTTGTTTCCTCACCTTTGTGTGAACCTTTGTGTTCTCATGGTAGCTTCTAAAATCTGATTACCTTATCTTATAGCTCTCCCCTTCCTCGTCCCCTTCCCAATGATAGCTCATTTCACTTCCTCTCCCCTTCCCAAGTAAGATGGGAAGAATCAGAGTTGCTCCTTCAGGCTAGTGCAGTCTGATCCTGAATGGGGATCAGAGTAGCACAGTGGGTGAGAGTGTAGAATTTGAGACCAGAGCACCTGCTACAAATCACAGTTCTATCACTTACTACCTGTGTGACCTCAGGCTAGTCACTTACCTTCTCTAAGCCTCAACTTCCTCATCCTAGAATAGAATGTGCAAAGTTGTCCATTAGGTAAGCCAAATCAAAGCATTTCTCAAGTGCTTGGCAATCTGCCTGCTAATGGTTATTACTTCTCCCATTTTATTCAACCTTTACCCTGTGGTTTTTGTTTGTTTGTTTTTGTTTTTAAGCCTCAGAACCCTTCTCAGAAAGCTTAGATAGAAGTGATGTATAAAACTGACTGGGAATGGTTCTGGTTGAAAGGTGTAGACAGCCCCATCATGCAGTTCCTACCATCCCCAGCTCCTGAAGAGGACTCCAACAGTTTCCTCAACCATAAGTTGGGGGATATGAAAATAACTCTGTTCAAAATCATTTCGTGTTTTTTCTTACAGATAGAGAAGGTAGAGGCCAGAGAGGTAAAGTAACTTGACCAAGTTCACACAGATTGTTAGTGTAAGCCAGGACCGAGCCAGAAAATGCCAAACAGAGCTCATTCTGTTTCTGTGAAAGAAAGCACTGTGTCCATTCAAAGGCATTATTTTCATTAGGGAGTAATTATATCCAAGAAATGGGACAGAGGGGAGGCTGTCTTTGCCCCAAAAGTGGTGATAAAACCCACAACACTTTGCAAAAAAAATTTTTTTAGTAACTCGAAAGATATTAACTATGAAGTTAAATAAGTAATATTTGTTTTTTTAAAAAGCAAGATACCAAATTCTATAAACAAAAAGGTCCTAATTCTATAAAAATATTTATGCAGAATGCATATGTGAATGTCCTAATGAAATCCATTATTTTGTATAATTAATACATGCTTATAAAACATGAAAGAATATCATATAAAAAGACTGGAAAGGAACTAAAATGTTAACAGGGACATCCTCTAAGCAGTATGATTATGAGTGATTTAAAAAATATTTTCCAAATTTCTGGTAGTGACACACATATAATCAGGACTGATTGATTGATTTTGTAGTACTGGGGTTTGAGCTCAGGGCTTTGTGCTTGCTAGGCAGGTGCTCTGTCACTTGAGCCACACTCCTAGCCCCTTTTTGCTGTATGTATTTGTCTTTTATTTATGCCCTTGCTGGCCTCGTAGTCACATTTCCCAAGTAGCCGGGATAACAGGTGCACTACCACACCCAGCCTTTGGTTGCGATGGGGCCCCCGGGAACTTTTTGCCTGGGCTAGCCTCGAACCAAGATTCTCTCAATTTCAGCCTCACGAGTAGCGAGGATTACAGGCATGAGCCACCATGCCTGGCTTAATCAGAAAAAATTTTATGGGGGATGGATGGTAGGAACAACCTATTCAGAGAGCCTTTTGTTGTTGTTTTGCAGTCCTCTGGATTGCTATACTCCTAGCTGCTAGATGAGTACTTTTTATAATCTAGCCACTTAAGATAATTCTTTAACAGTTATCATAAACCACAGATACTTTATATTTAGGAAGTTTGTTTACATATTTAAAGCATGGGAATGTATTAAATATTTAAATTTGTTCTCATGTTCTTCAGGCCTTATGATGTCTTCCAGCTGCAGTGCCAATCATTGTGCTACCTGCTAATAACCCCTGACCCTTAGAGTTTCTTAGCTAGACAATCTTCTCATCTATCATATGCAAGCAAAACGTCCACTAAAAATAGTTGGCAGTGTATTTAGAATTGTTTAACATGTTTCATGAAAAATGAATGTTAGCTGGATGTGGTGGTGCCTGCCTATAATCCTAGCATTCAGGAGTCTGAGACAGGGAGATCAAGAATTCGAGGCCAGCCTGGGAAGACCCTATCTCCAAAAAAGACCCAGTCACCAGGAAAGTGGGTTTTTGTAGTTTTGTAATACATTCATTTGTCTGTTCACTTTTGAAAACTAGGTCAGTAACTATCCTGCTTTTTTGCTTGCAGCCCTGCCAGACCCAAACATGTGGAACTAAATCTTAAAACTCCTAAGAATCCTGACAGTTTGGGAAGTGAGCATAATTCGTTTAGCCAGCCAGTTCATAAGGGAAACACTGCCACCAAAATCTCCTTATTTGAAAACAAACGGGTGAACAATAGCCCCAGACACCCTGACATTCGTGGCACAAGGAACACTCCTCCCTCCAGTAAGACATTTGTTGGAAGGGCAAAGCTGAATTTAGCCAAAAAAGCCAAGGAGATGGAGCAACCTGAAAAGAAAGCAGGGCCAAATGGCCAGCAAAATGGTGCGCCCATGAAGGAAGCCTCTGCAGAAACCACAGCTCCTGTTCCTGGAGAGGACGGTGTCCCAGTGGCTGGAGGAGCAGGAGAAGAGCCCACCGAGGGCCATGCTCTGGGTCCTCAGCCTAGCTCCTCTGATAAAGCAGATGTGCAAACAGATGCTGGCTGTCCTTCAGAATCAGTGGTCACTGCTCCGTTTCTCATCAAGGACCATGAGCTCTTAGGAGAGGACGACTCAGAGGCTGCTGACAGCAAAAGACTTGTACTTGAAAATGGCATTGATATAGCACATGTCTCCACCATTCTTGACACCAAAGATTCACCTCCAAAGCCGCAGGATTCATTTTCTGACTCACAGCCCCCAAGTGAGTCATGTAGGGGACCTCCTCTTGCACAGCCTGCACCCCTCCCTGTGGACACTCCCCAAGACAGCTGTGCTCAAGTTCCCATAAACAGCCTTCCATGCACTGATCTCAAAGTGTCAGAAAACCACAATGGGTGTATTTTGCTGGAGTCACATCACACTGAGAAAGTGCCACTGTCCAAACGTGAGGGAGAAGCAAACTCTCCTTTGTCCCTAGAGCCCACCCCAGAATCTGCGGGAGATAAGTGTCCATCCAAAGTCCTTGTCCAAGTCAGGTCCTTTGTGCTTCCTGTAGAGAGCACCCAGGACGTGAATGTCCAGATCTCAGAGAGCTCTGAAGTTAGAGAAGTGCAGTTGCCAAGTTGTCACAATAATGAACTTGAAGTGGTTTCTGTTGCAAGTTGTGCTCCCCAGGAAGAGGAAGTGCTGGGTAATAAGAGCACATCACCCAAAGACACTCATTGCAAAGAGGAACCTGTGGCAGAGTCTAGCCCAAACATCATGCCACCAGGCTCTGAGAAAGCTCTGTCCACCCCGACTCAAAGTGAGAGTGGCAGAACCTCGCTGCCAGCTGAGTCCAGCCCCACCAGCTCTCGCAGCAATAGAGATCATCCAGAAACTCCTCAAAGGCCAAATCAAAATGGTGTGAATGGTCAGGTTAGCCCTGCTTGGCTTGTGAATGTTTCTGCCGGTAGTGATGATAGCGCATTTGATTCTTCCTCCGACATGGAAAAATTCACGGAAATTATAAAAAAGATGGACAGTGCCATTTGTGTGCCACAGAAGAAGAAGAAGGCCAGGATGCCCAACTCTCCTACCCCTCACTTTGTCATGCCTCCCATTCATGAGGACAATTTAGAAAAGGTGTTGGATCCCAACGTGTTCACCTTTGGTTTGGGGAAGAAGAAGGAAAGCCAGCCAGAAATGTCACCGGCTTTACACTTGATGGAGAACCTTGACCCCAAATCTAAACTGAGACCCAAACGTGCGTCCACCGAGCAGAGTATCCTCTTTAAGTCCCTGCACTCTAACATGAGTGGGAAAAGCGAATCTCAGGCCACTCCAGCAGTAAATGACAAGGAGAACAGGGATGTCCCCAATGGTGGAATTAAGAGGTCAAGGCTAGAAAAAAGTGCTCTTTTCTCAAGCATGTTGTCATCCTTACCACAAGACAAAGTCTTTTCTCCCTCTGTGACGTCAGTCAATACTATGACCACATCTTTCGGCACTTCTCACAACGGTTCTCTATCTCAGTCTTCAGTGGTACAGCCCAGGTCTGAGGGTGCCCCGCCCTGTGGTTCAGACAAAGAACAGTCACTTCTCTCGCCCCACAGCTCCTTAAAGGTCTTCAATTTCAACTCGTCAAACACATCTCATTCAGGTTTGAAAACTCCAAGCCACATGGAGAAATATCCTCCCAAAGAGGAAACCAAAGAAGATCTGAATTCACGAAGCAATCTACACTTGCCAGAAACGAAATTTTCCAAACTGAAGAACAGTGATGATGTGGAAAAGGCTAACCACGTTGAAAGCATTCTTAAGTCAAATTTCCCAAACCACGGAAACAGTGACACCGACTTTGTGGGTCTTTTCACATCAAGCCGGTATGACCCAGGCATTTCTTTTTCTGGAATGTCATTATCAGATCCAGTGGTAAGTACCAACATAGCATCACTTATCTGGGGTTTTTTTAAAGCTAGGGGAAAAAGGGGCCATGAGCAATTCATGCTACTCTTTCAAAATGGTTGTGCTGTGGACAGTACTTTTGCATTTATTTATCACGTATTTGAAAACCTGCCATGTACAACGAACTGTGAAGGCCCAAGGAAAAAGATACCAAGGAGGTTTTCCCAAGACACTTGTGGTCTAGCAGGGAGAATAAATTACATTTTGTGAATAGTGTACTTGGGATGGTAGTGCAGACAGATGAGACTTCCTTACCTAGTCTGTGTAAAACTGCTCAATACTGTACTCAGAATTTTGAAGATTTGTGAAGCAGCTTCCTCTTTTTACAAAGGCCCCACCCAGCCACAGGAGCCTTTCCTTCTCCCTTCTTTTGCTGTGAGATTTCATTCATTTGCTCCGTAAGCAGCAATGTGTTTATCCCAGGCAGTTGAGAATGTATTTTCTGTTTACTGGGAATTAGCTTTTATCAGGGAAATATTTTACTTTTCTGCAAAGTTGGAGCATAAAAACTTTTGGTCTGCATTGGTTCTTTTCTTTAATATTGTAACAAAATAAGACTTTGAGGAACACTTACGGCTCTCCATCTTCTTGTATGTGCCAGAAGTTTTTGCTTGGTTGTTTTTTGTTGCTGTTGTTGTTTCTTTTGGTGCTGGGGAGTGAACCCAGGGCTTTGCACATTTTAAGCATATGGTCTACCACTGAGCTGTATCTCCAGCCTGGAAGGTTTTTGTCTCTACTCAGTTTTTCATGCGAATTTGTGCCTTTTTGCTGCCACGCTTGTTACTCAAAGTAAGGGAGGACAATGAAAGAGGAAGGCAGAATAGCAGGTGTAGAGCTCGGTGTGTGCTTGCCTAGAGATGTGAGTGGAGCTTGCGTTGCAGTGGCCCGCCCTGTGAGCCAGTATCTGGAAAGCACACACTGTCATTCAAAACCTTGAACCCTGGCAGAAAGTACCTCGTACCCTTCCTCACCTGGACAAGGCACTGCAGCATGTGTCAGTGTGGTGTTGGCTTTGCTGCAGTCCTGTCATGGAATGTGATTTTGGAGACTCTTGAAAAATATATAGTTGGCCAGTCGTGGTGGTGCATACCTGTAATACTAGCACTGTGTGGTAGAGACTGGCAGATGGCAAGTTCTAGGCCAGCCTGGGCTACATGGTGAGATCCTATCTCAAAAAAAAAAAAACATTTTTATTTTAAAAACTACTATTACTGTTACTTTTGATGTACTGAGGTTTGAACCCAGGGCCTTATGTACCTAAGCAAGTGTTTACATTTAAAAATTGAAAACTCCAAAGAGCTTTCGTTCATGTGGGTGATGCCTATCAGAACTGTATTAGAACTTAACACAGAGAAAAATTCAAAACACCAAAGAACACAAGCGCACATTTCATCAGCCTTCAGAGCAGTGACGCCATCACAGTCGTGGAGTCTTGTACCTCTCTGGTCCTTTGTGAGAGAAAGAGTGGGGAAAGGCAAATGACTTCTTATTATGAAAATAGCTTCGACCCCATGGACACCCTGAAAGGATCTCGGAGATTCCCAAGGGATATCTGGATCATAGTTGAAAAGTGAATCTGTCTGTAGCATGCAGAAATCCTAAGACTTTTTGCACAGGGGATGGGGTGGGTATTTGTTTGTTGAGACAGTTTTGCTTGTAGCTCATGCTGGCCTCAAACTTGTGATCCTGGTGCTTCAGATTCCTACATGCTGGGATTATAGACGTATACCACTGTGTTCTGCTAAGATTCTTTCTCTCAAGCACAAAATTTCCACTGGTGCACTTCCCCTTCATTATGGCATTGTTGTTTTTAATTTGTTCTTTTTATTCTTAAATCACTTTTTTTTTTAGTGGTACTGGGGTTTGAACTTGGCAACACTTGAGCTATGCCTCCAGCCTAGGTCACTTGTTATTTGACCACAATCTGACAAGTCTGATAACAAAATACACAAAGTTTCCCTATGAAAGCCAAGTCAGATGGAGTAAAAATGCTTTATATGTTTTCTAGATCTTTATGATTTTTAAAAATGAATTATCTTTCTTTAGGTTGACTCTATAGCTAGTCTGTCTGTAGTGTTTTTCCCGAATTTTGTTTTAAATTTTAGGGGGTTTCTTCCATTTCTCTACATTTAATACATACATATAAAGGAATAAGTACAGGCCATTTGTTAATTGTGCTTTCGTGCACCTTCCTCTCGTCTCGTGGTCATATTCCACTGCTGTGATGCAAGACAGATCAAAGGCAGTCCTCAGAAGAGGCGTCCTGGTCAGCCCTGGAAGTAGTCTGTGTTTTGTAATATTTTTATATCTATAATTACCATTTTATTATCTCTGCATTTCGGGTTTTACTGGTCTTGTCAGATGGTCTTGAAAATGATTAGTTTTAAAGCCATATAAAAAGGTATTTTCTCCATCAAAAAGGAGGGATTAAAAATACTGTGTGCAGTATATGTTGTAAAATATACCATATGTATGTTTATTTAGACTAGCAGTTGTGACATGATGATAGATGTTACTGTGACAACACAATATTTATCATTTCTGATAGGGTGTGGACAGGAACACAAAATTGGTTCAGCTTTTTCTAGATAAGTGATTAATGCATTCTGATTTGTATATACTTGAGATTACTCTGAGATTATTTGAATTACAATCTCAGTTGGTTCTTACTCTGTGAACTGACATAAAACATAGGTCTGACTTTTGGGCCCTGAATTTTCTGGTATTGGTAGAAAATACCCTAGACATTTAAATGAGGGGAAATTGAAAGGACAATTCAGTTCGGGGTCGGGGAGATCTCATAATTTAATAGCACAACCTCAAAGAGTTTCAATAAAACTTTGGCATAAACCAAGGTGGACATGTTTCACAACTGAGAAATGATGAGGCAAAGATAATATTTCATCACATATGGATAAGAGTGTTATGTGCAGTTGTAATTATTTGTTGTATTTTTATTCATCTGATTCTAGACACTTAGAGGGACTGTGCAAAATAAACTCAATCCTCGACCTGGAAAGGTAAGATTCTTTCCCATTTCGGGTCTAGATTTTATCTTGGTCTGATGGAGTATGGAAAAGTGCTGTCACTTTCATTTTCTCGTAGGTACTGATATTCAGTGAACCCGATGTCTCTGAGGAGTGCATTGAAATTTTCAGTGACCTTCAGGATTGCAGTGCTTGGAGCCTCTCTCCAGTGGTACTCATAAAAGTTGTTAGAGGATGGTAAGAGGGGCACTTGACGTTCCTGACTTACCCTGTGTGTGTGTGTGTGTGTGTTGCCTTCTTAATTATATTTCCGTTCCTCACTATAGGTTGAAAGTTATGCCTTTATCAGTATAAATTGCACAAGAAACTCAGGTCACATCTAAGCAATGTTTTTAATCATGTTTTGATTTTGGAGTACTATTTGTGCTTATGGTAGAAAAATCAGGAAAGTTCAGAAAAACAAATTTATTTTCCCATATAGCATTGCTTTGGATTATCATACATCAGGGGCTGTAACATATTTTTAGCTCATGAGTTTTAAATGACGTTGATAAGAACTACACCTGAAGACATTTTTGTTAACTATTTTTTGTGACAGTTGAGTGAAGAACTGACAAAAGATAGTTTTGATTAAGTAAATAAATGGATGAAAATACACATACTTTTGACAGTTTCTAAAATTGTCATACAAGTATTTGTTGCTTCTTGGAAATGTCCAGGAAGTTGAATTAAAAAAACCAACTTAAAAAAAATCACAGATCAGGCGTAAATACTTATCTTTGGTACCTATTTATAAACTTGTTTGAAATAAAGATGACAGTGTTCTAGATGTTTAAAAAGTTAGTAAGCTTTTCTTTTGGTCCCCATTTGATTAAATATGCAACATCTTTCGTTTTAGACTTTTAGATATTGTAATATATTTTTCTATATATTCAACATGTTCATTAAAAAAATAAAATTGCTTTCCTTCAAATTTGAAGACTGAAAATTGTGCTAAAAGCAAATTTATATAGCAGTTTTGTTTTTAACAAAACAATGCATTTTCATTTTTTTGCAACTTTTGTTGACTTCTTTCTTTCTTGAAAGCATAAGAACTTAAGAGTAGCCCTGTCATGTGGTGACAGGAGGTTTTTCTTAGTGGTTGGCTGTTTGAAGAAGAATTTTTAAATTTTTTTGGCAGTACTGAGGTTTGAACTCTGGGCCATGCTTGCTAGGCAGTGCTCTACCACATAAGCTACTGCACAAGCCCTGTTTTGTATTGGGTATTTTCTAGATAGGGTCTCGAGAACTATTTGTCAGGCTGGTTTCACCCAAAACCAGAAACCAGCCTGATCTCTGCCTCCTGAGTAGCTAGAATTACAGGAATGAGCCACCAGCACCTGGGTGGAGAAAGAATATTTTTTAAATACTTTTTATTAACCTCACATAATCCTTTCTATCACATATCCATTCATCAGGCCCTAATATATGTTAAAATCCTCCTATGAGAAACACTTTCTACACCTATAAGGAAATAACTGCCCATTTGTCTGACCTATTATTTGTATGTCTCCACCAGCTGGCAATCCTATAGAACACCAGTGGCTAAAAGTCTCCAAGAATTCTCTGTAAAATTCTCCAAGATACTGATACAGTTCTTGAGTTATCAGCAGCTTAATTAGCCCAGTAAAGTTTGCTTTAGGGAGAGTTTATGCTATTTTAGTTGCTAGAGACTTGGTGATTGGTATACAATATGTATTAGAATATTTGAGTAATCAAAACCTCTCCAACACTGGCTAATGGTTTTTCTGTTTTATTCTTAGTTGGATTTTGTATGAGAAACCAAATTTTGAAGGGCACTCCATCCCCTTAGAGGAAGGTGAATTGGAGCTGTCTGGTCTCTGGGGTGTGGAGGATGTTTTGGAAGGAAACAAGGCAGATGAATCTGATAAGCCTGTAGTGATTGGTTCTATCAGACATGTGGTCCAGGTAAGTTATGTTGAATCTAGATTTCATTTGTTCAGCAAATGTATGCTGGGTGGCAGGGGTAATTCTTACTTTAAGGGAAATGTTCATTTTATGAAATAAGTGATAGGGAAAATATTTGATTGGTACCCTATGAATGTATGTTCTGTAACTTATTTACGTCCAGAAACATTCTAATTGGTTTGATATTTTTTGTGATAAATCTTTAAGGTAAATCTTTTATCCTGGCTCCTGTTCCCACCTCCCAAGTTTACTTCACTTATTAATCTGGTGTGATAAGTTTTTTTGTTGTTGTTGTTTGTCTGTTTTTGTTTTTTGACACAGGGTCTTACTTTGTAGCCCAGGCTTTTCTCAAACTCAAGATCCTCCTGCTCCCTAAGTACTGGGATTACAGGTGTGCACCCCCATGCCTGGCTTATGATAAGCTCTTTATGAACTGATTTGTCCTTTATATAATTTTTTGTTGCATGATTTTTTTTTCTTTTTGCTGCTGCTGCCTGATTTCTGATTACCTCAAATAGTTTACAGATACCATATTTTGAAAAGATAATCCAATAATAATTTAGTTGATAGTTCAATTCAGGTTTTTTGTGGGTTTAAAAAGTATTATTTGATGTATTGGAGGCATGGCTCAAGTGATAGAATGCTTCCCTATGTGGATTGTATAAAAATTTTTGGCTTCTTATTCATTGAGGAGGAAGGGGTTATTGGCATCTTTCTTTGTGGCTATAGAATTTGTAAAAATATAATTAATGGTGTCTTCCAAGTAGAAAATTTAAATTCCAACTCTGTGTAATAGAGATGGCTGTTATAATGTGCAGTAGAGAGAAATGGAAGGTTCTGAAATGAGAACGAGTAAGAATGATTAATAGTTTTCGGCAGAAGGAAATGTCACCTACTTCCTAGGTCAACATTTCTGAGTGACGTAGGTGATATTTAGTATTCTAAATGACTTCTCTTTTAATAGTTCTAAGTACATACTGGGATAAAAAATAAGTGAGATATGATGAACTCTATTTCAAAATGTCCTCATTAGTGGTATATTTTACCCACATTTTATATTGTTAATAAAACATTGCTTAAAAATACTACCTGATGGGCTCAAGGCGTAGCTCAAGTGATAAAACCTGGGTTCAATCCTGAACAAGGAAGGAAGGCAGAAAGAAAGAAAGGAAGATAAAAATATATATCACCTGAATTCCATCCTCATGTCTTCTCTCCCTTCACTCTTTTGACTTCTCCAGCCTTTGTTGGCTGTATTCTATCTGCTCTTACTACAGTTGTAATCATAACACAAGTCCACTCGCACTGTAATTCTCACTTCTTTCTCCATCTCCATTACCATTGCCTAAGCTCATACTCCTCCTGGTAACACCTCCGTATGATTTGCACCTGGGGGAGGTATTGGGCTCTGTTGGGTGTATCTGGGAAGGCAGGTTAAGGAAAGTGAGCTATTCCTGATGAGAGCATCTGTGTGGCAATGCAGCAAACATTTTTCATGTTACTTCCTGGTTTGAGGTTTAGCTGAGTATTGCACTTCATTGAAATGATGCTTTGTTATGTATCGTTTAGCACATCAGTGAGGTAGCATCATTTATTATTTCCCCTTTCTGTGAATCTTAAAGTCGTTAGGTGTTCTATTTTGTTTACTATTTTAAATAATGCTCTGGGAATGTTTTTTGTGTTTAGCACTTCATAATTTTCTGATTTTATTTCCTTGGGTTAAATTTTTTCTGATGGTCATCATGTTGAAGGGCAGGAACACATTTGCGGTTCCTGATTTGTCGTGAATTGTACTTTCTTTACAGCTTGTGTGCAAGGTTCCTGAAACATGAACATAAGTTGTGATACATATTTAAGAGGGTCACTTTTTTGGTTTCGTAGAGTCGCTTCTTGTTGTAATGTTTGAAAGAGTCGCATCTGAACTGACCCAGGTGTTAGTATTTCTTCTGTATTGTAGTTCACCTAGCTGGGCAGCACAGAGGGGTTCAGTAAACATCTGATTAATGCACTCAGCCAGGAGAGGGCTTTTGCAGAGCGTGCGCTGGGTGGTAGATATGTGGGCATAGAATAATGACTAGTGTAAGATGTGCAAATCATCATGAATGTGTGTTTTGTCCTTAACATTTTAGACTCAACCAATATATTAGAGATCTTGTCACAGTCAAGATGTGTTGCCTGAGGCCTTATGGTTGAAGACTCCCAAGTACACCTGTTCAATAGACTACAGGTGCTGGTCTTGGGTAGTTACTTCAGACCAGGGAAAGCCAAGTGAGAATGAGAGAAGGATGTTTCAAAATGCTACTGAAGTACTTGCTTCAGTACTTTGCTTGAATGTAACACTGAGCTTCATGACTAATGCAGCGTGCGTGTCCCCGAAAGGGAGTATTTTGAACTCATTAGTGCAAACAGGAAAGAAATAAAATGGCAGGTGCCCTGTGAATTGTACATATATATTTAAGGTTTATTTTAATCAATTGCAAGAGAAAGAATAATGAGTTTACCATAGCTAATTACATGGTGTAACTGTTATCAGACATGTATTATATATGTATTATATGTATGTGTGTGTGTGTATTTTTTTCAGGATTACAGGATTAGTCAAATTGACTTATTTACTGAACCAGAAGGGTTAGGACTCCTAAATTCCTACTTTGATGACACTGAGGAAATGCAGGGGTTTGGTGTAATGCAGAAGACTTGTTCCATTAAAGTGCACTGGGGCACGTAAGTATTTTCGTTCAGTTTTCTTGAAGCTTTTTTGAGTGTAGTACTGCAGTAAGAATTTAAGATATTCTGTTCCTGATTTGTTGTCACTTTAATTAAGGACTAGTAGAAGGAATTTTTATATGAAACATAAAATTTTGGTTCTTTTCCACCTCAGTTATTATGATTCGCCTTTCTTGTAAAAGTAACTTTATTACAGGACGTGTGGGGAAGAATACAATTTTTTTTTGGGGGCGGTACTGGGCTTTGAACTCAGGGCCTCCTGTTTGCTTGTCAGGTGCTCTTACCACTTGATCCACCCCACTAGCCCTGTTTTGTGAAGGGTTTTTTTAGATAGGGTCTCACAAACTATTTGCCTGGGCTGGCTTTGAACCAAGATCCTCCTGATCTCTGTCTCCTGGGGAGGTAGGATTACAGGTGTGAGCATTTTTACTGTAGGACTTTTTCCTTATCACCAAAGCACCTGGTTTGTTCAAGACTGAGTAATGGATTGTACCTTCATGGTAATTCAGTATTTCTCCCAGGTGGGATGGAAGTCAGCACACATGGTACTTCCTGTAGCATTGTGACACAATGCTCTTGTGTTGGTTTCATAAGTCACAGGAAACTGCAAGAATTGTTAGAAGGAAGTGGGAAATGAGGACAAAGAGTGCAGACTGCAGTCCTAAGGTATGTGGTCTCTGAATGGAGCACACAGCTCAGGACATGCAAAATGTGGCTGTTGAGACGCAAGAGAAAACATCAAGCTGCTTTATGTTTTACTTAATATCTTCTCCTTTTAGGAGTTTATGTTTTCTGATATGCAAAAATAAGTTAGTTTGATGGTAGTGTGTGTATTTCATAAATATTAACATATTCACAGAATGTTCCGAAGTTTTTATCACTGGGGTAAGCAGTCAGAAAGGTTTATAGTCTGTCCTGTAACATGGTGTCTCTGCAGAATGATAACGTATGCCTTGGTCATGTCCTTGCATTCTGCTGATTATTAAAAGTCTTGGTTTGCTATTTCTTTTTTTGTCATTTTTACATTTACTCACATGTATATACATTGTTTGGGCCACCTCCCCTGCTATTATTCAAATCAAATGATTTGATTGTGCAGAATGCAGGAGCCCAGTATATTACAGACCGGAGTCTGATTTTTGGTTCTTGGAAATCGGGAATTACAAACTTCCAGGAAACTTCATGGGAGTAAGAACATGAAATAGCAGCCATCCTTGAAGAGTTGAAAGGTGGTCACGTATTTGCTTTATGGAAAAGCCAATAGAAATTAGAGTGGTGGATTTTGACTTGAGCCAGGGAAGAACTTGGTTAAGAAGGAAGTGTGCTGCCTTGGTGTAGGAGTTTCTTGTCATGGAAGGTATTCAAGTAGAGAACGGATTTGTACGGAGAGTAAGGTAAGAGTTAGGGCCTCCTTTATGACTGCTCATTTATTTACTTTAAAACCTTTGAAATATAACTTACCTAGAAAAAAGCTCATAGATGCTAAACGTTCAGCTAAAAAATAATAAAGTGAGTCGTCTGGTAGGTACCACTCAAGCCAAGAACTACACCACCAATAGCCCTCAGAAGCCCAGTGTGACCTCCTGTCTACCAGCCCCTCTCGGAAAATAGCTCCCCTGTCTTGGTCCATTTTCTGTTACTATAACTGAATACCACAGATGGAGTTACTTGTGAAGAATAAAGATTTATCAGCTCACAAGGTGAGGGACCCACTTGTAACGAGGGCCTACTTGCTGGTGGGAGTCCCAGGGCAGTGCAGGGATCACGTGGCAGGAGGGGTGCATATAAGAGACGGAGCCGAACTTGCTTTTGTAACAAACCCACTCTTTCTTTTTATTAGTGTACATCAATTATACAAAGTAATGGGTTTCACCAGGACATTTTCAAATATGTATATAATGTACTTTGATCATATTCACCCCCCTATTACCCTCTCCTGTCCCTCTCTCCCCTCTTGCTGGTCCCCTTCCTCTTCCCAAATAGTCTTCCTTCTTCTTTCATGAATTTTATTTTAAATGTAGATTCCACATATGAGAGAAAACTTACGATATTTGTCTTTCTCAGTCTGGCTTATCTCACTCAACACCATGATCTCCAGTTCCATCCTTTTTCCTGCAAACGACATCATTTCATTGTTCTTTATGGCTGAATAAAGCTCCATTGTGTATGTGTTACCACATTTTCTTTAGACTTTCATCCTTGCTGCACTTAGACTGCTTCCTTCTGTAGCCCTCACACTGGCTATTATGAGCAGCGCTGCAATAAACATGGGTGTGCGGGTGTCTGCATCGGATGCTGACTCCAGGTGCCCAGGAGTGGCACAGCAGGATCACGTGGGAGTTTCAGTTTTTTTGAGGAACCTCTATGCTGATTTCCATAGTGACTGTACTAATTTACATTCTACCAAGAGTGTATGAGGGTTCCTTCCCGATTCCATCCTCACCAGCTTTTGTTTGTTTTCTTGATGAGAGCCTGGTTCAGAGGGAATCTCAATGTAGTTTCAATTTGTATTTCCCTGATAGCTAAAGATGTCAAATGTTTTCATGTGTTTTCTGGCCTTTTTTTTTTTTTTTCGGTGGGTGGAGGTGGTGGTGCAGTACTGGCGGGAAGTCAATGCAGGGTCTCATGCTAGCTATGCAAGCACTGTATCACTTGAGCCATGCCCCAGTCCTCTTGTTTTTAATTTGTTTTTCAGATAGAGTTTTGTATTTTTGCCTGGGCTGGCCTCAGACTGCGATCCTCCTATCTCTGCCTCCTGAATAGCTGTGATTACAGGTTTGTTCTACCATGTCCTGCTTGTTTTTGAGATAGGTCTCACTTTTTGCCTGGGCTGGCTTTCCTCCTGATTTCTGCCTCCTGAGTACCTGGAATTACAGGTGTGCACCATCATGCCTGTCTTATTGGACATTTTGCTTCATTTGAGAACTGTCTGTTCATTTGCCCATTTAATTGATTTTAGTGTTTAATTTTTTGAGTTCTCTGTATACTATTACTATACATATTCTTTTGTTTGTTTGTTTGTTTTTTGAGACAGGGTCTCACTATGCAGCCCAAACTAGTCCGAAACTCACAGTCCTCCTGTGAGTGGGACTCAGTGCTGGGGGGTCATAGGTCTGTGCTGCCATGCCCAGCTTAAGTTCTTTATGTATTCTGGATATCATTCCCGTGCATACAAATAGCAAGCAAAGATTCTCCCATTCTGTAGGCTGTTTCTCCATTCTTACAATTGTTTCCTTTAATGTACAGAAACTTTCGAATCTGATGCAAAGTTACTGTTATTTGCCAGTTCTCGCTGTAATTTCCTGAGTACTAGAGTCCTATTCAGGAGGTCATTGCCTGTGCCTATATATCCTGAAGCGTTTCCCTTAGCTTTTCCTCCAGTAGTTTCAAAACTCAGGTCTTACTTACATTTACAGCTTTGATCCATTATGAGTTGTCTTTTGTCCATGAGGATATCCATCCAGTTTTCCCAGCACCTCTTTCCAGTGGAAGAGGCTGTCTTTCCTCCAGCGTGTGTTTTTGGCAGCTTGTCAGAGATCAGATGGCTGTAGCTGTTTGGCTCATTTCCGAGTTCTCTAGTCCGTTCCATTGATTTGCGTGCTGCAAATCCACTGCTGAGGTAGCTAGTCAGTTCATTAATGATTACTGTGCTCGTGAGGACTCTGCCCTTGTGACCTGCTTACCTCTTGAAGTTCTTATCAGTCCCACTTTCTTGTTTTGTTTTTTTGAAATAGGGTCTTGCTTTTTAGCTAAGGCTGGCCTTGAACTCATGATCCTCATACCTCAGCCTCCCTGGGCTGGGATTGCAGTACTAAAGGTTTACTCTCACCTCTTAATACCTGGCAGTGGGGGTTAAATGTCAACATGGATTTTGAGGGGGAGCATCCAAACCGTAGTACTTCCATCCTCAGGAAAGTGAGATACAGCAAAGAAAGACTAGATGGTTTTCCAACATGCAAGTTTACCTCCATTAGGGCTGAAGAATAATGTTCACTTAAATATCTCTTTTTGATGTGTAAGGTTATTTTCCAAGGAAAATATGTATTTTACTGCCTTAAAAAATTTATATACAACAGCAATTTATTCAGCTCTTGATTCTGGAGGTTGGGAAGTCCAAGAGCCTGGCACCAGTATCTGGGGAGGGCCTCTGCTGTGTCATCCTGTGGTAGAAGGGTGCAAAAGTGTGAGTTAACATATATTTTGGTTAATATCATTTGTTACCCAGGAGGTCTTGAAAAGCTATGAAATTTCTAAAGGTGGTTGATTTAGAATGAAGAATTAGGAAAAGCCCTTTTTTTTTTTGCATATTTTCTTTAAATGTAGCAAGGATTTGGGACTTTAACAAATATAAATCTAGTACAGTGTCAGAGATGTGTCCAGGGGTGGAACCTGAGCAGTTAAGAAATGGAGGGGCTGGCTGGGAGGCAGGAGAGGCTCAGGAATTGGGTCTGAGGTGCCATTTGCACATTACAGAAAGGGCAGGAGGGGGAGCGGGGTGGGGCTGGAGAGGGCACTGGTCAGAGAGAAAAGCTTGGGTGTCCTCAGCACAGTGAGGTGTGAAGTCAGGCCCAGCACGAGATACCAGAGGCAATGAGCGGAGCCGGAGTTGTTGAAGCCGGGTGAGCCTTGGGCACATTTCTGTTTAGACACTGGGAGGAGAAGTAGGAATCTTAAGTCTGAGAAAATGACTTTGTGTCTTTTGGCCTTTCATGTTTTCACATCAAAGGAAGCTGTAGTCTTCCCCCTCTTTTTTCAAAGCATTGATGTTGAGCAATATCACTTTCCTTAGAGAAGAATGCAAAGGGTGTCTGCCATAGGATTTTAATCTCAGTGCCTGGAGGGTTTGCATGAATCAGGCTCCGTAACACTGGGCCACTGTGAACTACACTTAAATAGCATCTCTTACCTTTGCAGTAAGGTCACTTTGCCTCCTGAGTGTAGTCACAACCCTGTCCCAGCCTACAGTTTGTGATGACCTTGCATGGGGACACACACCATTTTTCTGGCTGTTCATTTCTGTGTTTCAAGAACTCATGATCTTCCTGCCCCAGTCTCCCCAGTGCTGGGATTATAGGCATGCACTACCATGCCTAGCTGGGCTGAGAGGATGTAACTCATAAATACACAAGCTCATTTTGCCTCTTTTGGTGCAGTATCTATACTGGTCTTTTTGGATGGTGGGGAACTTTTCTAGATCCATTAGGAGATGTGTTCCAGGGCCCACTCACTCTGGACATGCACAAAACAAGGTAATACCTGTCAAATTCTTATTCGAGGAAATAATTCCTAACTATTTTCAGATTCTGTTGAGTGGATTTGTTTTTAAACTTCATTTTAAGCAGTCATCTAATCAGCACCCATACTTCTGGAGGTGAATGTTATAAAGTATATAACATAAATTTTATTTTTAAGGGTTTGTTTGTATGTTTATTTATTTGGTGGGACTGGGGTTTGAACTCAGGGCCTTGTACTTGCAAAGCAGGCATTTTACCACTTGGGCCATGCCTCTAGTCCTAAGTATTTGTTATATATTTTATTTTTCTAATAAAAACAAAACTTTAGAACTTCACAGACACCGTGTGGTCTGCCCCAGTACTATCATTTAGGCAAGGAGGACAGGCTCTGGTTGCTTCCTCCAGACTCTGATTAGGTGTTAGCAGACCATGTGCTAGAATGTTCTTTTGCTAGCTAAATATTCTCTGATCTTTTTTGCAATGAAATAGTTGATATATACAGAATGATATCTGTGTATATGTGAGTTACAGAGCCTAATAATGAAGCAAACCCCAACCCACACCCTAGACTGTTACCAGCTCTGCCACAGAACTGTGTGTCACCCACCCGGTTCCCGCTCCCTCAGTGCATACATGACTCCTCTCCTAAGATTACCCACTCTGATGAGTATACCTGGATTTTGGTCTTTTTCTATGTGATGGTCACTACATCTGTCTCATTGTGATGCATGTCATGTCATGTCATGTCATGTCATACAGAGCCCAGTTTTTACTACAAAGGCTTTCAAGACAGTAGAAATAGAAGTTCAATATACGCCTGTGTAGCAAGCATCCACTAGACTCAGTGATTGTTAACATTTTGTTAACATTAACATGAGCACTTGAAAATGAGTTATAAGTATCAGTTCCCTTCATTGCTGTCCACTTCAGCTTCAGTCTTTATAGTGACATTCTCCTGTATGACATTCATCATTATCTCAGAAAATTAATGATGTCTATCATGACATGTAATCAGTAGCCTATAGGCACACTTTCCCAATTGCCTGAGGAATATCACTTTATAAAATTTTTTAAAATTAAGATCCAGTTGTGGTTCACATAAATACATTTGGTTTTTTTGTCTCAGTATGACTTCTTTAATCTATGAAGTACTCCCATCTCTTTGTTTCCCATGCCAGACTTTGTAAGAATTTAAGCCAGCTGCCTTAGAAAATAGATTTTTCTGAGTGTTTGTTTCCTTACAGTATCCTTTAACTTACTCTGCTGTTGTCTGAATTTTCCATATAACTAAGGGTTAGGCCCATAGGTATCATTACACTGACGTTGAACAATTTTGGCAAGGGTACTTCATTTAGGTAGGCCATATATGTACGGTGCATCCCATTGGGGGCAGGTGCTGACTTGCCTAGCCACTAATGATCCCAGGTTTGCCCCCTTGGTTAAAGAAGTGCCATTGTGAAAGTTCATTTACCCCTTCAAGATTCCCAGCCACTGTCTGTTGAATGACCTCGGAGCTGGTGTTCAATACATCATCTCTCAAGTAGCCAGTTGGTTTCTGTAAATGGCCAGCATTTATGTGCAGCTGTGTCTTAAGAGTCCAGCTGGGAAGACTGTTAAGTTTAGCTTTGCTTCCTAGATGGTCATGACATGTTAGTTGTTTAAGAACAAGTAGACAAGATAGAACCCATTTTTCTTAGATGACTCAGAGTATTTCTAGTCAATCACACACATTTTTAATGTACAGATGAACGGCCATTGTTGGCACCTCAGAAGTATTCATAAGTATGTGTTAGGAGTGAATGCATTCATATAGGTTAAAAATAGTTCATGCTTGATAGTTGTACAGTATGACTTTAAAAACATACTTTGGGGATTTTTTTGTTTTTTGTTTTGTTTTTTTGTCTCTTATTTTGAGATAGGATATTGCTGTATAGCCCAGGCTGACCTTGAATTTGTGACCTTCCTGCCTTGGCCTCCTCAGTGCTGGGATCACAGCTTTGTGCCACCACACCCAGCTAAAGTCATACTTTTTTCATGTGTATTGACAAAAGGTCATTACCTAAATGCAAAGGCAAAGAGAGTTCCTTTAGAATCTGAAATAACATTGCCTGAAGGTGATTTCCCCTCCCCTGATATAGCCTCGTGAATTCTGTATCTTGTTGGACAAGAATTTAGGAAAAATGAATCAAGCTGTATAATGTGTTTTCGGATCCCAAAGTGCCCCCTGCATTCATAAATGTCAGTGTGTGTTCCCCAGAAGGCCTCCAGCACCCAATGGTGAGAAAGGACTCTTAGAATCCAGTCTTTTACTTTTATTAGCATATCTTGCTTTTTTCTTCCTCACCCCTTTTTAAATAATTTTGACAGGTTTCCTTATTCTGCTTTCCTACATGCATATAAAGTACTTTGAGAACACAGTCTTTCCCAATGTGTACCAGTTTATTTGTTCAGTTTCTTAGAAAATCCTCTCTACCCAAAATCGCCTTTGTCTTATAAGGCACTTTCCATGCTTCAAGGAAAGTGAAATTTCAGCACCAGTGAATAAACCCTCTCAGAACTCAAATTATAGAAGGAAAGACCTAATGAGAAGAACTTTTGGGAAGTATCATTTCAAACTCCCCAAGCCCAAGCCCCTTCACTTGTGGAGGAGTCAGACAAGACCTTCAGGCCTTTGACTGCTCAGCCTACAACAGATTTCATCACAGAACTGCCAGTATTTATGTCATAAAACTCATCTGTAGCATGCCTGTGATCACTCTGAGCTCCAAAAATGTGTAATGCATCCTTAACTGTCATGTTTTAAACATAAGGAAATTTCGCAGCACTCCCTTCTTGGTCTGTTGTGTGTGTGTGTGTGTGTGTGTGTGTGTGTGCGCACGCGTGCACGCGCGTGCAGGTTAGAGGTATTTAAAAGACAAGCCTCTCTTTTCCTTCATTTAATTTGTTTTAAAAGGTATAACATTTGTACAAAAAACATTTGTACAAAAAAGGTACACAACAGATCTTAAATACATAAGTCAAGTGAATTTTTATAAGCGGAACCATTATCTAGATCAAGAAATAGAACATTCTAGCCTCTCAGAAGCTCCCTCATTCATGCCTCTTCCTGTTCCTCCTCACCTCAACCCCCTGTTATCCTGACTTCTTACATTGCACATTAGGTTTGATCCCCCACCTGGGTACGCCCAGCCTCCCAGTATTCTTTCATGTGTTTGTTGACAGATCTTCAGTAGGATTCTGGTTGTGCATCTCTGTGTAGTTAGTCTAAAGAAAGTATTGATTGATCCAGGGGAATCTTTAACAGAAACTATCACTAAAAATGTACCTTGGGCCAAAATTGAGGATAAGAGGAAAGCAAAGAGGGGGAAGCAGCAGACCCACTTTGTTGGTAAAGATTTCATTTGAAGCATGGTAGTGTACCACAGCAAGGCATTTTAGCTAGACTAACGAATAATTGGCAAGTGTAAGCAATCTAAAAGTCTGGGCGTGTCTGTGAAGGGTACATTGACATCTGCCTTGTATAAGTCACCTCTCCAGCAGCTTCACCTTCCAGAGCGCTCCCAGAAATGAAGCCTTTCACAGGATTTGTAGACAGTTGTAACAGGCTTGATTTTATGGGTCCCTGACTTCTGCACAGTAGAGGAGGGTGGAGCTGCTGTTTCCGTACCAAAGCAGAAGTGATAGCTGACAAGCCTGATAGAAGGGTGTGGTATTGCAAAGCCATTCAAATCAGAACCAAGAACTGGGTAGGCTTTTAGCCTGGGAACAAGTAGCTCTACAGACTTTCAGAACTCCTGAGAACACCACTGTGCATAGTAATGCTCACAGCGATGATCCTAAGTTAGTGTGAAAAGAGTAAATTTTGTTTGGTGCGCTCCCTGTAATGGAAAAAACCACCATGGAAAATGGTTGGGAGCCTGGGTCCCAAGCCATTTTGGGACAGCCCCAGACAGCCTTTGATACTTAACAGCTGTGTGTCCTGGGGCAATTGACTTCACCTCATCTGTACAGTGGGAACAGTTGTTCCCTCCAGTAACATTCCTGTGAGGATTAAATGAAGTTCTAGGTGGCACCTCCTAAGCTTTAGGGAGATGTTGGCTGTTACTAATCCTCAGCAATCCTTAAAAAATGATTAGGTGGAACACCATAATGTTTGGTTACAAATGAGGTGTTAGCTCTAAGCAAGACTTAAGATTTCCCCACTTGATCTCTAAATAAACATGGTGCAAAGAGACAACTACTTTTATTACTTGGAAGTGATAGAGCCGCTTACACTTAAAGGCATTTAATAATAAAGATTAAAAGAAGTGGGCAAAGCCAGCCAAGGAGCAAAGTCTCACATCACCCTAACAACACTGAAGTGCAGCCAGATGTAGTTGTGGGTCCACATCCCCTCTCCTCCTCTTTTTCCTCTTGTCACTGGGGTCCTGGGTGCCAGAGAGGAGGAAAAGCTGAAATAAATGACGAGTCGTCTGCCTCTTCCTCCCTTGCTTGTTATGTAGATGGCTGATTTATGAAGAACCTGGATTTCAAGGTATCCCTTTTATCCTGGAGCCCGGTGAATATCCTGACTTATCCTTCTGGGATACTGAAGAAGCGTACATTGGATCCATGCGGCCTCTGAAAATGGTAAAAATGACATCAAACTCTTTTCTCTTGTTGGCTTGACAGTGATGTGACTTTGAAGCAGTACCACTGACTTTTTAAGAACAAATATGTGGTAGATGGATCCTGTTGTTGGATCGAAATAATAGAAGCAATAGCTTACCAGGTGCTGTGGATAAACAAAGTGGGTAAGACTGTGTCCTGCTATCGAGGCATCCTCAGCCTGGAGAGCCAAGATGTGTACACTGAGCCTCAATGCAGCACGGGGTTAATAAGTGAAGGATTAAATGTTCGTAAAAAATGGGAGGAAGGATAAATAAGATGCCAACAATGGGTGATGTGATGGAGAATGGGGTAGTTAGGAAAGCTTCATGAGACTCAAGTGAGGTCTTAAAATAGGAGCAGGACTGTTGTCGATGGAGCTGTCAGCGAATGGTACCAGAGCCAGGATGCCCAGCGGGGAAGGGCAGGGCAGGCTCAGGACCGGTCCATCCAGTGACAGGAGGGGGCTGGAGGTGTGGCTTAAGCAGTAGAGCACCTGCCTTACAAGCGTGAAGCCTCCAGTAGTGCCCAAAATAAGACAAAACAGAGCCAGTCTGAGACAACTTAGAAGTTAGGAAGATAATCTTTCATCTTAATTCTACCCCTCCTGACAAAGTGTTTGATTTGATGTCTGCATATTTGCTGCCCTTGATGCAAATGATCTGAGGTTTTGGTTTTTTTTTTTTTCCCCTAAAATTCATTTTCAAAGAGCAAAGTTTTATGACTGTATGAAAGAATTACTTCAAGTTTCAAAAGCGGTTCATAGTGATGATTTTAAAACTCTAAAGTTTATGGTGTTCGAAGGCATTATTTTTAAAATGGTTACTCGGCAGTATAGGCTCTGGTTTGCTGATAAAACCAGCCTCTTTCCTTCAGAATTACAGTTCATTTGAACATCTTTGGCCACAGGTCTTTTTAAGCTGTTAAAGATATACTGGTAAGAAATATCTGACTTCCCACTGCTGACTTTCAACTTGACCATTTAATGTTTTTATGTAATACCCTTTCTCTAGTTTATTTTTAGGGTTTTTTTATTTTTCTAAATCTTTCAATTACAAAAGTATAACAACCTCTCCCACACCCATCCTTTGGGATGTTTTAAATGTTCTCGATGGTTATCTTATTTCACAAATCCTCCAGATCATACTGTGTGAACTTCAACAGTTTTGCAGGCATGGGTTGCAAAATCAAAGGCCTCCAGGGCCAGGCAGGAAATGCGAATGGGCGAGGCTGGCTGGGAGTGAGCTTAAGGGAGGGGTGGAGGAGGCCGAGGCCAAGGCCAACCCCAGCCAGAGCTGCTGAAGGACCAGCTTGGTGCAGGATGAACCAGTACAGAGGTGAAGACTGCTGCCTGTGAGGATTTAGGTCCAAAGGTGTCAGACTTTAGACATGTTTGGCAAAAGAAGTGAGAAATATGAATTTTTATGAGAAACTTCCTGAGTTAAAACACACACATACACACATATGCACCTGACACGCGCGTTCAGCTTATGGATCGCCTGTTAGTCTCTGCTGTCGACTGTCGTCTTCGTTTCCAGTGTTGGTAACCTTACCACTGTCTTGTGTAAATGTTAAAAAGGGAACATAATCACGCTGAGGTTCCACCACTGTGAGTCATATAAAATGGTAAGGTAGCAATGAAAAATTATTTTTCTTACTGTGCTGTTTTTCTGTTCAGGGTGGCCGGAAAGTTGAATTCCCAACAGATCCAAAGGTAAACGTGTGTGTGTGTGTGTGTGTGTGTGTGTGTGTGTGTGTGTGTGTGTCTGTGATTTTACTTCTGCTGCATCTCCATGAAGATAATGCGTGTGTGACTTGTACGCATATAAGCCTCCATCACACTTAATTGCAGCCAGCAGAAGCCGTCCCAACGTTCACAGGCCATGCTTCCCAGAAGGAGATGCTGGTGCACTAGTTATCACTAGCAGCATGTGTACCCGAGGCTCATAGATTCACTGTGGCATTACATTTCTGGCCCGGCTTGCTAATTTCGAGGCCTGTTCTTGCTTGCCAGTAGCCAGGAAGAAACCTTTTCAAGACAAGTTCTCCCTACTCCACAATTCTCTTTCTGTTTTCTACATCTGTGCCAAGTACTGGATGGTGTACTTATTTTTTCATTTTTCAGTCAATTTCCTCTGATGCTTTAGTTTATCCTGAACAAAATATTAAATATCATTTCTCAACATAGAACAAAAAATTATCATTAAAAAAAACTATCTTGCTAGGTGCTGGTGGCTCACACCTGTAATCCTAGCTACTCAGGAGGCAGAGATCAGGAGGATCGTAGTTCCAGGCCAGCCTGGGCAAATAGTTCAGGAGACCCTATTTCGAAATACCGTTCACAAAAATAGGGCTGGTGGAGTGGGTCAAGGTGAAGGACCTGAATTTAAGCCCCAGTACTGCAAAAAAAACTGTCTTTTGAACCTTGTCTTTGGCCTTTTCCACACAGGGGTTGAGAAGCCTAGTGGTTTTGCTTTGGTGGTACTGGGGTTTTGATTTTTTTTTAAAGCAATGTTATTAGATGCTGTTATTTAGTAAATTTTAAAAATACAATCAGAAAATCTTAGTTTGTGTTCTAGGAGTTATGCTATTAAATGACCGATTTAATGTTTAGCTGTTGAGATGTTTAACTTCTCACAGATAACTGTTGTATCCCATTTCTCTTGTAGGTAGTTATTTATGAAAAGCCTTTGTTTGAAGGGAAATGCGTGGAACTGGAAACAGATATGTGTAGTTTTATCGCGGAGGGAGGAGAGACAGAAGAAACCAGTAGAGAGGGTCATTTGCCCTTCACGGCAGTGGGGTCTATGAAAGTTCTAAGAGGCATGTAAGTAGAAGGGTGACTGCAAATGTCTCTCTTTTATACTTGATAAAGTCATAAATGTGCCCTTTTCCTCCAGAATACAATAGTTTTGATTGTATGGTGTGGTGAATTTCCTTTCTTCCTTCCTCCCTTCCTTTCTTGCTCCCTCCCTCCCTCCCTTTTTTCCGTGGTTTTTTGAGACAGGGTCTCACTGTGTAGCCCAGGCTGGCCTTGAACTTGCAGTTCCTCTGCCTCTGCCTCCCAAGTGCTGGGATACTAGGCATGCATCACCACACCTGGCTTTGTGTGTATGACAGTGAGTGTTGAACCCAGGGCCTTGCACACACTAGTTCTGTGCTGCATGGTGAATTTTGACAGCTGTGTCTGGTCTCTCAGCCTGTGGATCGGGACATGAGAAGCAGCTGAAGGGACTGGGGGCCGGGGGTGGGGGAGAGGGAAGTCCAACAGCAAGGCTGATAAATTGGCCTGTTTATATTGGCTAAACCTACAATCTTGTTTATTAGAATTATGTTCCAAACTACACTGGTTGGCTCATGCCACCAGTGGGAGACTGAGATCAGGAGGATTGCAGTTTAGGCCTGCCCAGGCAAAAAGTTAGACCCCATCTCCACCAATAGTTAGATAACATTTGACTGTCATCCCTGTTATGTGGCAGGCTGAGATCAGGACGATGTGGTTCCTGGCCAGCCTAGGCAAAAACAAGTTTGTGAGATCCCATCTCAACAGAAAAAAGCTGGGTATTCAAACCCCAGTACCACCAAAAAAAAAAAAAAAAGGATCACCTCCAGGCTGGCCTGGGCAAAAAGAGAGACCCTATCTCCAAAATAAACAAAGCAAAAAAAGCTGGAGGCATGCCCATGTGGTAGAATGTCTACCTAGCAAGCACAAAGCCCTGAGTTCAAACCCCCGCACTGCCAAAGAAAAGGAATTATGTTGTGAACTAATGAACTGTTAGCTTGCTCTCTAATTTTATGATCTTCCTGCATTTTGTAGGTCTTACACATTTCACATAGAATGCACTTTGAAACTGGTCTTACAGATAGGCAAAACTCATAATATTTTAATTACTGTTTGAAGAAGGCTTATCTAGTTTTTGGCAAATTATTTGCATATATATGCATATATCTTTATTTGCATAGATTGTATCTTTGTCCATAGAAGATACATATATGATTAACAAGTATATATAAGATGCTTGACATCTCTAACCATCAGGGAAATATGAATTAAAACTACAATTAAAAACACAGTGAGTATCAGTACACATCTGTTAGAATAGCTACTATTAAAAATAAGTGAAAAAGGACAAAGGAACATCCCCTAGAAACTGACAGCTGTTGGTGAGGATGTGGAGAAACTGAAACCCCTGGGTACTCTTTATGAGAGTGCATAATGATGTGACTCCTGTGGAAAACAGTGTCTGTTCTTCAAAAATTAAAATAGCATTAATGTGTGATTCAGCAATGCCACTTCACGGTATGAACCCTAAAGAACTGAAAATACATCAGATGTTCAGTGCAGCTGGCAAGACATGAATGCATCCACTGATAAATAATTAAAGCCAACCTGGTGTGTACATACAGTGAATAATCTTCAGCCTTAAAAACTCATTTCGACTGGTCACAAAGCAATTTGTTTAGAGGGAATTTCTGTCATATGGAACAATGTGGACTCTGAGGACATTATGCTAAGTGAAATAAACCAATTATAAACAAATTCATCAAATTTGCACTCTGTAAGACAAAGTAACAAAGCTTATAAAAACAAAATGTAGAATAGAAGTTGAGGCTTCTAAAAAATGCAAAAGGTTTCAGTTATGGAAAATGAAAAAGTTCTTGAGATCCATTGCAACACAAAATGGATACAGCTAACAATACTGTGACATACACTTAACTTATGTTAGTCTTTTTACAATAAAAATGTGTAGTACAATAAGCCAAAAAAAAAAAAAGAAAAGAAAGCTTATCCAGTTTTACTTGACGAAGTTCATTTTAGCTCTTATTTAAACACATGCACACACACACATCTCCCTTTTCCTCAAATTCTCCCAGATGTTAAAGACTATTAAAGGATTCCAATAATAACAACATGCATAATAAATTTAAGCATCATTTCCCAAAATTTTAGAGAATTCTACTAACACATAAGTTTACGTCTAGCTTCTTAACTATTGCTATTTGTCAGCGAAACTGATCTGTGCACGGGCAACCTCTTAACTGTCTGAAAATCACCGCCATTCGTGTTCTCTCTGCTGCAGTTGGGTTGCCTACGAGAAGCCTGGCTTTAGCGGTCATCAGTATTTGCTAGAAGAAGGAGAATACAAAGACTGGAGAGACTGGGGAGGTTACGGCGGAGAACTGCAGTCTTTGCGCCCTGTATTAGGTGTAAGTTAAACACAAGCTAACACCTAGTACTTGGTCTTTTTTGGATAATTACCAGCAACCCTTTGAATGTTGATTTTTTTTTTTCTTAATAGGACTTTTCAAACGCCCACATGATAATGTACACTGAGAAAAACTTTGGATCCAAAGGTTCCAGTATTGATGTGTTAGGAATTGTTGCTGACCTGAAGGACACCGGCTATGGAGCAAAGACACAGTCTATTAATGTGCTGAGTGGCGTGTAAGTGAAATAATCCCTTCAGGATTTGAAGCCTGGGTTTTGCCTGGGTTTGTGTTAACCTAATGGAGTCTGTGACACAGAGTAAGCACTCAGCAAATAAGTATCTCAACGGCTATGCCATTTGCGTAGTGCTTTGAAATGTTTCTCATGGAATCTTACGTTAACATGCAAGTGTTCTACTGAACACCGAGGTAGGCTTTTGGGTATCTTGATAGAATCTTGTCATTCTGCATGAAAAGATAATGAACTTCTCATGATGGGAATCAAATAATAATAGTAATCTAACATTAGAAACCTGAGGTTGGGACAAAGTGACTTTAAATTTTCCTGGGGTCCTGCACCTGCTTCAATGTGTTTCTTTATTATCTTAGCATAAAGATAATTTGTTATTTATTTACTTTTGTTTGTTTTTTGAGATAGGGTCTTGCTACATGCTATCCTCAAACTGGTGATCCATCTGCCTCAGCCGCCTGAGTGCTGGGATTATAAGCATGCACCATCATGCTCAGCCCAGTGCTTTATTAATGGCATATCCATTAATAAAGATGATCAGTAAGAGAGATGACCTTCTGGGATGCGAGTGACCATGAGCCAGGCTGAATTGGCTCAGGCGAGTGAAATGGAACTCATTGGATTTGATAATTGTCAAGTCCCGTAGAAGATTTTACTTCAGCCATGGCTGGATGTAAGAAATTGAACAGTGGCATCAGACTTGGTCTGTGTTGGCTTTACTTTAAGGAGGCCCTTTTCATCTGGTGGCCTGTGCCACATCTGGCTTTTGTTCTTCCAACTCATTGCACGCAGTGGAAAGAGCTTCTCTTCCCCTCACATGTTCCGGGTTTGACCTTGTCACTCTAGGCATGGATCCAAAGTACATGCCTGAGCCAAGGGGCTGGTTGTACCTTCCCTAGAGTCCATCCCACAGGGGCCACTTAGATGTGACTGTGGCGGGTGGCTCCCAGGAAGGGTGAGGATAGATTCCAGATGGGCAGGACAGCAGAAGTCTGTTATAGGGAGTTGCATGATCATTCTTGTGATCTATTCTGATTTCTCATGTGAGGTATTCTTGCAAATGTGAAAAACTTTGACATTGGTTCTGTTGAGAGTGGTTGATGTCAGTTTTATATGTCTTTGAGTGACAAAAGCCATTTCAGTCAGCCTAGCCTCAGCCCTATATATTGCATGGGCCTCCCTGGTAGCCCTGGCAATCTGAGCTGGGTCTCCAGTGCAGTGTACTCTTATTGCTGGTCATGCTCAGTCCAGCCTTGTGAAGGCTGCTGCTTGCGGTGCCCTCCTGGCAGAACGACGTCAGTCTTAGCAGAAAATGCCTTCTGTTGGGTCCTATTCTGGAGCCGAACATTGTAGAGTCATAGTTGGTTCTCTACATTTCACCTGAACTATATGGCAGAAGTCACTTGAAATGGCGCAGTGGCTCTGCAGTATTTTAGATTACCTTTATAGCTAATTATTTAGGAGTAGAAATACAGTGACTAACTCAGTCTGGTGAAAGAGTTGTGTGTTTTGATTCTCACCAGGTGTGTTGGCTCATTAGTCATGTGCCAGTCATCCACCCTAGGAAAGGATGCCAAAGGATGCTGGGTAGACGTTTGTAGAGATTGTGCTGTTAGCACCATAGCGTTCTTTGCCCAGTCTTTTCCTTTTTAACTCAGCCGCTGCTTACTTGAGATTAGTTTCGTTTATAACATACTGCTTTTATATGTTCCTGTTTTTAGTCATTCCTGGTTGTATTCCTGGCTTAGCCTTTTTTGTGGTTGTTACAGTTGAGTTTTGGTATTGGGGGGATGTTAAAGGGAGGCACACACACACATACTCACATACATACATACATACATACATACATACATAGTTCCTCTTCTTTGGATGTGGAAGGACTTCTGTATTTACCAACTGTTTCCTTATTTTCATTCAGTTTGTCATTTGACAAATATTTGTTGAAGTCTGTTATGTGCAGAGGATTATATCATATCCTCAGAGAAGTTACAGTATTTATATAAAAGTTATTGCCAGGCATTGTCGCTCATGCCTGTAATCCTAGCTACTTGGGAAGCTGAGATCAGGACAATTGTGGTTCAAGGCCAGCCTGGGCAAGATCCCATTTCCAAAATAACCAGAATAGAATAGACTGGAGGTGTGACTTAAGTGATAGAGAGGTGGTTTTGCAAGCTCAAAGCCCTGAGTTCAAATCCCAGTCCCACCAAAACAAACAAAAGCCCCAACATAATTATTGCTACAAAGGAGGGAGAGGTTAACTGTGGAAGTACACAACAGAGAGAGATGAATTTCCATCTGGTGCAGACAAGACTTTGTGAAGGAGGTTGGACTAGAGTTAGGGCTTGCAGGATCGGAAGGCTAAGACATGCCAAGATGAGGAAAAATTGTTTCATTTTAATGGCTTTATTTTTATTGGTAAATAAACATCTTAATTTGCTTCTTTATTTCTTAGCATGGAAGTCAATGCTAGAAAAAAACTTTTCTTTGTTGTTTTGATTTTTTGAGACAGAGTCTTACTCTGTACTTCAGGCTGGCCTCAAACTCTCCATTCTCCTGCTGCCATCTTCTGAGTGCTGGGCTTACAGGCATGTACTACCACACCCAGCTAGAAAAAAATCTTTTGAAATTCTTGTTCTGTGCACTGTCTCCATGGAGGCTCAGTACCACATGGGTAATAAATTCCCTCGTCTTAAGCTCAGTATTAGCTGAGAAATACAGATGCCTTTAGGAAGGATGCTCCTGAGAGCACCTGAAGCTTCTCGGAACTACATTCCATTTCTGCTTGGGATGTCAAAAGAAGATCCTTCTGATAGCCCTGCTTATCAGTTTCTAGGTCTGGGCTATACTCTTGCTCAGAGTGGAAACTAATTCTTTTTAAACTAAGACCAAAATGAAATAAGTCTAGAGTTAAGATTAAAAAACAAAGGTGCTGTTGTTTTAAATTCTTTCTCTTTTGGCCTTCCATACAAGGGCGGGTTTGCCCTGCTGTCCTTAAATTCTGAGCAATCATTTACTACACCAGGCTGGGATCTGCTAGTACTTGTACCTGCCTCTCTTCCCCACCCCTTACTGGTCTTCAGACAGAGAAGTATTGATTCAGGTGTACAAAATCCATTCGAACGAGGTTGGTCAGGTCTTTTTTAAAAGTCCCAAGTATGATAGACCATATGGTGTAGACCATAGAGCAGGGACTCTCATATCTGGGTTTTGGGGTCCCCCCACCTCCCTTCACGGAGATTCACTTGCAGCTGGAAGGAAAGCAACACCACTCCCAATCCAAATGACATCTGACAGTGTTTCCCTGCTTCAGCTTCAGCAACTAGACAGGCCTGCCTGGGTCCTGGGGGTGTGCTGACTAGTAATGGCTTTATTTCAGTTTCCTTAGGGAATGGCATACTCTTACTTATTGGTTAAAAACAAGGACTGGCCAGTTTCTCCTGTGCTTAGGCTCTTCTCCCTCCTCCCTGGTATTGCCCTCTAAACCTTGAAGTCGAGCAAAAAGACCTTTAGCCCTTTAGTCTTAAAATTGTTACAGACTCAGAGCCCTGCCGGGAACACTTTGTGTGGTATGAGTTACCGTCTCTGTTGCAAAGTCCTGATTTATGTTAAGTCAATTTTCTTGCAAAGCAGACACCACCAGCACCCCCCACCGTGGCTGTGCTCCCTGCGCCCACCTCACGCCCTGCTGCTTCCTAACTCTGTGATTAGCCGATGGCTGTGTGTGCAAAGGCACTGCAGGTGCCCATGTGCCAGGCAGCCTCACCAGGTCACCACTGGGACCTCAGCCAGCTCCCTTGCTTATCAGCAAAACTACAAACTTGCACAAAGGTTAAGGGTTGTCTCCAAAGCTGCCTGAAAGCTAATGTTATGATCACAGCCGGAAGAGGGTCTTACCTCCCAACCATAAAGAGTAGGTTTTTCGAGTTGCTAATAAGTCTGTGAAATGGGGACTTTTCTGAACGAGATGATGTTTTAGCAGTTTCTCTGTTCAGCAGGCCAGAGGCATACAGATGTTAGCTGTTGGCATCGGTCACACTGGAAATTTCTGCACTGTTCTTTTTCTCCTGACAGCTGCTCATTTCCTGCTGATGGCTGTACTTGCACTTTTGTTGAAATGAGTACTTTAAATAGTAAGATCTGAATCTTTAATCACAAAGTGTGTGGACTCTTAGGTGTGGCTTACTACCACAATAAATGGAAGGGAACTTTATAGGTAGGGCACATAGCAGGCGGGTCACAGAGTGAAGAGAACCTTAGGAGCTCTCACAGCTGCAGTATGCTCTGGCCACTAAATAATGTGTCACTCTGGACAGGTCACTTCCCACTCATAACAAGCTCTAACAAATAAGTCCTTGTTAGGCTTCCTACCCATCTGCCAACTTTCAAGAACAGAGGTTTTGTCGTCTTCACCTTTGTATTCCTAGAGCCAGTAGAGTTCCTGGTCCATGACAAATAGGCTGTCCATGTGTATTGAATGAGTAGATTAACTTTCCTGTGTCTTTAAATTTTCGAATCTGTCCAACGGGCACATCAGTACTTCCTGAGATAAATGTGAATCCATAGATGTGAGAACATTTTGGAAAGTTCTGAGTGTGATGCGTGGGTAGATACCACTCCTTTAAGCCGGGAGAGGATCATTTGAGCAATGAGCTAGCTAAGGAGTGAACACCGAGTGTCTCTTCCCTGCTACAGCATTGGAACACCTTTTCTCTTCAAACCCTTTACCTTTAGATAGGAAAAAGTGTCAGTAAATTGGTCTTCTTGAGTTTTCACTTTGAGTGTAGCTCACTGAAAAGCTAACAAATGAAAACATTCCAAGAGAGATTTGTTTTGAATACGTCTGTGAGTTTGTTCAGTCTGCTTATTACCCATCTGCGACATGTTGGAAATACTGTTTGAAACAAAATTTTAGTTAGCCTCATTTTTTTTGTATTTAACTTTTTCAGTATGGTTTATTGTATGATACAGACATAACTTCCTGTTAAGATGTTCCTGAAGAAATCATTTAATGTTGATAACAAAAAGGATTCTTGCTTACTTATTAAAAGAACTAGGCTTTTCTTAAAAATCCAATTTTGGGGGCTGGAGGTAAGGCTCAAGCAATAGAGCAGTGCAAGGTCCTGAGTTCAAACTCCAGTACTACCAGAAATGAAAAAAAAAAAAAAAACTACCCTAGAGTAGCAGAAAAAACCCCCAAAACATAGAATCATCCTCATTGCAGCTTGTTTAAGGGCTAGAGATTTGATAAATAAGAATACCAAAATGTTCACATAAAGCAAAAATATTCTTCTGTTTACCATTTTAACTTGTCTTATAGACAAATTTAGTCTGTTCCTCTAGATTAATGGAAAGCCAGAAAAATTACGGTTCCTGACTAGCAAAACAGATGCACATTTCTGTGAGACATACTTACAGCAAGTGTTTTTGTTTCTTTAGATGGGTAGCCTATGAAAATCCTGACTTCACAGGAGAGCAGTATGTTCTGGATAAAGGCTTTTACACCAGTTTTGAGGACTGGGGAGGCAAAAATTGTAAGATCTCTTCTGTTCAGCCATATGTTTGGTAAGGAATTATTTTTTCTTATGAGAATATTTAAGTACATTCTGGATTTCCTTCATGTGTGCTTCTTGTTCATGTAATACTGATTGCTACAGAAAATATCTTAGGTTATTTTTAAGCAGAAATTACTAATGTGAAAGAAAAAAGGTTTTTCAACATGTGTGCTCTGTTCATTTTCTTCTTCTTTTTTTCCTTTAATTTTAGGATTCCTTCACTGGTCCAAGGAGACGAAATCAGGTAACTTTAAAAATATTCTGTTTTTATAATTCAGGCCTTCCACTGAAAAGCTGAACTTCAGTATACAATGTCAGACATTTGGAATATATTGTTAGCTTAACCCATTTTTATGTCTGAAAACATAATTGTATTTTTAAAATAAAGAAATGTTAATTTTAATGTTTAATTGATTGTACTGACCCATGTCTAAATATTTCTTGTTACAAAGCTAATTATGGAGAGCAAAATTTTATGTATCATTATACTGAATCAGAGTTTAATATACAAAGGTAAGTATTTTAGGCGTAATGTCCTTTTGATACACATTAAAGTCACTTCACATTTGCTGTGTCTGCCTTAGACAATTTATGGTCTCACCCGAGCCTTCCGTCCTGACACTCAAACCATCAGCAATTTTGCACTTGTTATTTAGGCGTTTTAATGAAGTATTCAGCAGCTGTAATTACAGAGGTGCAGATTCCACTGGTAGCCTTCTTTATTGGCATCTGCATGATTCTAATAGGTCAGCAAGAATCTTCCACTGAGGGGGACCATGCTACATGATCCTCAGATACAGTTTATTGTTAGGGCTGACGAGCAGTTACTCTTGGCCACAAGAAAGCTTTAAAATGCCTCCTAACTTGTTAACGACAGGGTGTTCTATAGAAAGTTACCTCTGCTGTCGGGTTGTCCTTTGATGTCTCTGAACTAAGTAGCTATGAATGGGACTGCCAACGTGTTTCTAATTGTTCATTAATGTTGAAGTGGAAAATTAAAAGATTTATAAAAGTCACAGCAGTTTACTGTAACAAGAGGTGGCAGGTCAGGATTAGGTTATTTCAAAAGCTGACTGAGTTAACATGGATTGGAAAATAATTTTATGTGTTTCCGTTTACTTTTTTAAAGATTCACTTGTTTTCAGAACCACGGTTTCAAGGTCAAAGTCAACGTTTTGAAGAGACAACAAGTCAAATTGATGATTCATTTTCAACTAAGTCTTGCAGGGTCTTGGGAGGCAGGTAAGCAAAACAGGGGAGCGGCAGAGCCAAATAACTGAGGTAAAGTAGAATTCACACACCAGGAAGTGCTTCGTGACATCTGTCAGGTGCTTGGCGTTCACAGCATGAGTGAAAATCAGTCTGGGTTAGAGCAGCTCTGTCCTTTCTGACCTATTCCTTGTCTCTAAGATACCTCCCAAGGGAGATTTTTTTTTTTTTTTTTTTGAGGCAGACAGGAGTGGGACAGGCACTGTGTGTGACAGGCAGGTAAGGAACAGTGCATGGCAGGAGTAGAGTGGGATAGTTGTTACGAGGGCTGCTCAGGGAGCACACCACCCTCCCTAGCTGTGAGGGCTTTGTGTTGGGCAGAACAAAGCTGGCTTGCACTGGAGGGAAGGGCCAGCTCTGAAGACCCCTTGGGCATATATATGAGTTTTGATGGAAGCCAGAGGAAAGGCGGTGAGCCCCCAAGTGCCATACTAAAAGCAATGGCTGTACAAAAGCTTTATTAGAGAAGGGAGAGCCCAAGGCCAGAGAAACTTAGGATCTCTTGGAGCGATCTGTAAAAAGTAGCTGAGGCGTTACATCAGTTATTTTTATGGCAATTGTGCCTTTCATCATACAGTTCTTTATGGACTGGGAGCGCCATCATACCATTCCGCACCAAACAGTGGAAGAACACTTCTTGGGAACTTCTTATGAAGCATGGCAAAGAACCATTTTACTAATAATTTGAGGCCCTGACAGGCCAAGTGACTTCTCTAAGTTGCTCTCATGTTTTGACTCCTGGCCCAGCACAGGGGCACTGGAAATGAGGGAAAGAGGGTAATGAGAGAGGGCATCAGTAAACCTTGAGAGGATCCTTTGACAAAGAGAACATGAGGCCTGGAGCTACACTGGCTGAGAACATGGTGGTACGCATGAGAGGAGCAAAGAATGCCGGGAGGTGGGGAAGTAAAAACATGGGTCATTCCATGGAGAAGGAAGTGCTCTTTCCTGGCTTCAAAGTTAACAGACTTATGAATATTAACTTGCCACAAAATGAAATGCAGTAAATATATTGTTATTTTTGAAGAAAGAACATGGTTATCAACAGCCTTGTGTTTATTTTAAAGCAGACTGCCTCAAAAAAACCTACTTATTTATTTTATTTTTTTGGTGGTGTGACCTCAGGGTGTCACACTTGCTACTTGAAGTTTGAGCCGCTTCCCCAGCCCTGTTTTGTTTGGTTTTTTTTTTTTGAGATAGTGTCTCACAAGCTATTTGTCCTCCCGCTTGCTGCCTCCTGAGTAGCTAGAATTACAGGCATGAGCCACCGGTGCCTAGCCTAAAAGATCTATTTTTGAATAGGAATGCTCAAATTGCATATGTGTGTGGTTTGTTTCCTGCTGCAGCTGGGTTGCGTATGATGGAGAAAATTTCACTGGCAATCAGTACGTGCTGGAAGAAGGTCACTATCCCTGTCTCTCTGCAATGGGATGCCTGCCTGGAGCAACTTTCAAGTCTCTTCGTTTCATACATGTTGTAAGTATGCCCATTAGTATGAATACAGCATTACAGACATGTATGGTTCACATCGCTGCTGGTGAGAACCAGGAATCCAGCAGAACTTAGGGATTCACATGGGAGGCAGACAAAACAATTGCAGTAGAGCTTTCCATTCAGTAACTTTTGGTCTCTTTTTCAGTTCTGAAACACATAACCTATTGTGTGCTGTTTTCTCACTCAGGGAATTGAGTTACCCATGCTCCAGAGTAGTCATAGTTCAGGGACCCTCTCCTGTTTGTTTTTCCTCTTTCTATCTGGTCCATATTTCCAATCCTCTCTCCTCCTCATGCACCCATTACAATGTGTTTCGGGATACACTGGAATATTCTTGAAAAATATATGTTTTTAAAAATCTGTACTTAGGTTTTTAATTTACATAAATATTATGCTATGTTTCTCACTCTAACAGGAATAACTCAATATTTAACATTGAGAGTTTTTAAGAGCTATCATTTTGTCATGTGTACATGTAGCTTATTGATTCTAACTGTATACATATTCCACCACCCTACACTACTTGTTTACTCCTCACATGCAGCTATCTGTGAGACAGTGGGAGTCTCTTGGGGCTATCCAGAGCGAAGTGCTGGATTCACCAGTGAGGACAGACAATTGCATTTGGTGCTGCCAGATCCAACCTAGACACCCAGTGGGGAGAACACAAGTTCATGCTTTCCACACTGCCATCACTCTTTCTAGTGTTGCCATTTTGATGGAACAGGTAGAAAGTGTCATCTCATGGTTGGGTTGATTTGCATCTCACTGTTAGTGAGGTCAGTATCTCATACGCTGGTCATATGCTGGGTTTTCTGATGGTGAAATGCCAAATCATATCCTTTGCTCAACTCTTTCTTCAGTTTATTGTATCCTTGTAGTTTATTCTATTATCACTATCTTGTTTTAGGGAGTTTTCAATCAAGTGACTTCTCCCAGGTTGTCACTTGTGTGCTACTCCTGGTTATACTGCCCCCCTTTTGGACAGAAATCTTTCACTTTGATGTAGCCAAAGCAATAGTTAATACAACAAAAACTGCAAGATTATGTCCAGATATTTAACACTAGGTGTATCTACAGTTTGGGAAATTTTAGTCACTTTTGGAGGTTGATCTAATAAAAAGCCTTAAACACATATGGTTGGTTATTTTAGTCATAAAGGTAGGGAGAACATGTGAGTTGGCCTTCTGTTATCCCTTCCTGCCTGTTTAAATAATAAAATGCTGTTGAGACATGAAAATGTCATCAGCAAAGCATGGAATGCTGTGGTCAGACTCATTAGCTTACGAATAATAAAAGATGACTTTATGGTAGTTAGTCTGCTTAGAATTCTAAAAACTACCTACCTACTAGTATGTATTTGAAGTTTTCCTGCTATTACTCATCCAGAACATGGCATATATACTCATATGAGTTGGACATGTAAAGATGGTGTCTTTTAAAGTTTTGATTATGAGGAAATGGAGATTTTTACCCATAATAAAACTAACCATTTTGGGGGTGTTTGTGGTGGGGGATGGAACCTCAGGGCTTTATGCATACTAAGCAAGCACTCTACCACTAAGCTACATCCTAGCCCTAGACTACTTTTGTTTTTTGTTTTTTTTGTTTTTTTTGGGATGGGGTCTTTCTATGTAACCCAGGCTGCCCTGGAATCCACTATGCAGCCCAGGCCAGCCTCGAACACAAGTCCTCCTGCCTCTGTCTCCAAACGCTGGGATTGTAGTCATATGCCACCATGTCTAGTTTACTTTTTTTTTTGGCAGTACTGGGGTTTCAACTCAGGGCCTTCACATTGAGCCACTCCACCAGTCCTATTTTTGTGAAGGGTCTTTTGAGATAAGGTCTTGCAGAACTACCCAGGCTGGCTTCAAACCGCAATCCTCCTGATCACTGCCCCCTGAGTAGCTAGGATTACAGGCGTGAGCCACCAGTGCCTGGCACCTGGTTTACATTTTTAATTGTAATTTAACAATTCAAAATTATTTAAATGCTTTTTGATATTACACTTGAGTGTTTAGAGCATTTTGGCATACCACCTCAGAGAAAAGCACAGTAAACATGCAAAGTTGGTAATACTGCTGCAACTTTTCTTATTTCCTCCTTGTATGTTTTATATAACCTAATTCCTACACCATAGAACCCATCTCCACACAATAACCTGCTTGGTTTACTGACTGACGAAGTCTTCCCAACACGTCAGGGCGCATCCACATAAGAGGAGCAGTAAAGTACCCTGCCCGCGCCACAAATCTTTAAGTGGCTGGGGAAATGATGGTAATCCCCTGTGCTTTTTCAGCGTGTCACTTATGGTCTTAGGAGTGTTATCGGAGCCTGGTCTCGTCCAGGGTCATATGGGTCTGTACTTTGGCAACAAGCATAAACTGCCATTTCTTCGCTTGCCTGAAAATCAGTGTCCTCTAAAATGTTTGACAGTTTGAACGAGGGGCTTCTGCCCTGCTTTTTTCTCTCTTGACAGTGACTGTTACAGGAAGGCTTGGGAGCATGAGAACATAAGGACTGTTTTATTGGCAATTAAAATAAACAAACAAAGGACATTTGAAAATGCCTGCAAGGGGCAAGCTCCCAGATTAGGCAATACAGGGTACCACGAGGTCACTAGACACCAGACTGCCACAGCCCGCTCTTCCTCACCATTTGTATGGTTTCCCAGCCTGTCTTTGCTGGAAAGAGGCTCAGTTGAAAATAAATTCCACCTAATGTGTCGACGTTCCGTGTGCATGTGCACTTCCTGTGCCCGGGTGTTCTTTCTCCCACTTTATCACATGACTTACGTGAACTCGCCTTTATTTGCAGTGGAAAAACTTCCTGCCCCTCTGTCCTTCCTCTCTGTAGCTTTGGAACCGGAGACACCCAGACCTCCTGGGAAACGGAGGTTTTGAGTAGGCCAAATCTGGCAGGGCTTTGCCCTTGTAACCAGATGACTTCATAAAAACTTCAGATTGTTACCAGATGAATAACAGAACATTATTTTTGCTTCCAAACAGGAATTTTCTGAGCCAATAATTATTCTTTTTGAAAGAGAAAACTTCAAAGGAAAAAAGATTGAACTTAATGCTGAAATAGTTAACCTTCAGTCACTGGGATTCAACACACAGATCCGTTCCGTCCAGGTTATTGGTGGCATGTAAGTTACCTGCTTGTTGATCCAATAAAAAAGACTTTTTTTTTTTTAAAGAAATATGGTTTTACTACACAGCTCTGGCTGGCCTCGAACTCACAATCCTCTTGCCTCAGCCTCCCGAGTGCAGGGAATCAAGGTGTGCCCTGGCTTTAAAAAGTTTCATTTCTAATTGGTAAATAATAATTGTGTATATTTACAGGGTACACTGTGATGTTTTTAAAGTATACGCTGTGGATCAGATCAGGGTAATTAGCGTGTCCACCACTTCAAATATTCATCATTTCTTTGTGGCGAGAACCCCAATTTAAATCCTCTTTTAGCGACTTTGAAATGTATGTTTTATACCGACTAAAGTCACCATGCCGTGCAGTAGAACAAGACTTACTCCTCCCGTCCAACTCTAATTTTGTGCTCATTGGCCAGCGCTCACCCCTCACCCCTGTTATCTCCCTGGCCCCCACTGCCTATGGTAACCAGCTTTCTTTTACTCTGTGTGAGTCCAACTTAGTTAGGTCTCACAATAAGTGAAATCATACAGAATTTGTCTCTTTGTGCCTTGCTTATAAATATTAAGTTTAATCGAGTTTTTTTCCTTGCATTACATGAATTGACATAGCACTCCTGATTTTCTGTATGGGTTAGTTTTTTGGCAATAATGGGATTTTGAACTCAGGACCTCATGTTTGCTAAGCAGGCACTCTACCACTTGAGCTACTTCCACAGCTGTATTTGCTTTTGTTTGTTTGTTTTGACGTGGCGCTGGCCTCTGACTGCCATTTTCCTATCTATAGCTTTCCACATAGGTGGATTACAGATGTGATCCACCACACCCAGCTTGTCGGGTTCTTACTGTCTCTACCCTAGGTTGGCCTCAAACCACAATCCTCTCAATTCGCATCTCCTGAGTAGCTGGGACTGTAGGTATTGGCCGTGTCTGCGCCTGTGAGGGCCAACAGTCACATGCCTTCATAGTATCCTTTTCTTGGTGGAAGAGCCATGTGTAAAGCATCCTTCAGCCTATGAAGATTTTTTTGGTTTTTGAGCACTCTTTTTTTAGCAAATAAGAGAGAGCTAATATTTCTGATCCTTTCAAAGACTTAGACCTTTGATATTGGGAGCTAAGGGAAAGCTTTTCCTTTGACTGGCAGATGCTGTACAGATAATTAAAAGTCAACCAGGGAAGATGTTTTTCAGCTTTGAATAAAAATAAAAGTGTTCGGGTCTATGGTCAAATGGGAATTTCCACACACTATGGTTCCTTTTTTCTCTTTTCCAGATGGATTACATATGAGTTTGGCAATTACAGAGGTCGGCAGTTCCTGCTGTCACCTGCAGAAGTGCCTAACTGGTATGAATTCAGTGGCTGTCGGCAAATAGGTTCTCTGCGACCCTTTGCTCAGGTACGTTTTCCTTCCTCAACCTGTGAATAGTCTTTGGAAAATTTTTTTTGTAAATGCAATTCAATTCTAAGTTTCAATTTAAAGTTTTAAGTTGGCTCCTCCTCCCCTACCCTCAGTATTTGGGCTGTTTGTGGCACCGAGAGGTGAGGTAGCTTCAGAAATGCCATTAAACCTAACATCAAACATGGTGTGTCCCAAACTCTGGGTTGACCAAAGGTAGGCACTCTTATCACTGAGGAAATCTTAAAACCTCTAGACTCGTGTATACATCCCTCATCCGTCCCTCACTTTGGACTTTTCCACATATTAATACCTATTCAATCCTCTAAACAGCACAACTTGTCTATAACTACTGCTGGGATTTCTGTCTTCTAGAAACGAATTTTCTTCAGACTTCGAAACAAAGCAACAGGGTTGTTTATGTCAACCAATGGAAACTTGGAGGATCTGAAGCTTCTTAGAGTACAGGTCATGGAAGATGTTGGTGCTGATGACCAGGTTTGGATTTACCAAGAAGGATGCATCAAATGCAGGGTGAGCTTCTAGGATTAGTTGCGCTCGGTAGTACCTGTCTAGTAGCACAAGGAAGGGACTTACCTTTATGCTTTTGGTCTTTCTTCAAGTAGCTGCTCCTTCACGATTCCTGGCGCACTTTGAGAAATAAATTTGAAGTTGTTTATTTTTTTTTTTTCATGAAACTGTTTCCTAGCTCTGTTGGAACCTATCTTAGGAACTTAAAATGGGTTCTAAATCTAGCACTGATCTGAGATAAGTGTCTATACTTGATTTTTATATAGTAATAGGAAGTGGTGGTGTTACTCTTCTCCCTTTCCTTAATCTACTTGTAGAAATAAGCTATGGTCCCAGTACACCACCGCCAAAAACCATTCTTGGTTTGTTTCTGTTTGGAAGACTTCTGCAGAATAGTATGAAGGGTAGATGGAGATATCTCTGTGTGCTCAACATGGTCCATCTCCTAGTGGTCACACGCAGTAAAGTGGGAAACAGCGCATCGCCCTCTTGCATCACTCCTGCTTATATATAGACACTTAAAAGCTGAATGTAGTCAGATTTTATGAGAGAAGCTCACGCTTTTCTCATAGGCATCTTTTTTCTCCTAGACTTTATAGGCTTGACTATTTGCTCCTGATATTTAAAAAACTTGGTTTCCCATGAGTCAGTAGAAGGCATTCTGCCTGTGAGAAGGAACAGGATCATTCAGTAGGGTTCTTGTGCTTGAGGGAGAAACACCCTTTCATAAACAGAAGTGCTGTTTAGACACGCACAGGAGGAACACATGAGAAAGAAGCAGAAGTAGCTTTAATACTGAAGCATGAAAAGAAACCAACCTCTGCCTGGATTTTCTTGGTATAAGAAAGGAGTACTTTCAGCACTTATTTCTAAATGAAACATGTCAGTATTATTTAACAATTCCAATTCAGTGAGTCAGTGAGAAAAAGTGGAATGTCATAAATAACCACAGTGATGTCACCTGCACATAGAATAGTGAGTTTTTGTTGTTTTGTTCTGTAGTGCTGAGGATCAAACTCACAGTCTTGCAAATGGTAAGCAAGTGCTCTTACTTTTAGTCAGCACAATTTTTATAGCATGTGTTAGTGGCATATGAGAATATGATTGCTATATGCTGTTTATGTTTTAAGAGTAGATTTACTTCAGGAAGTAAATCTTAAAATCTTTGTATTAAAATGCCTATAATAGTGAGCTTGCATTTTCTAGCCAGACAGCACACTTACTTGGAAAATTTTAGACATGTCTCATGAAGGAAAGCAAGAGCTAGTAAATGCAGTTTCAAGTTGTAAGATAGAATGCCTGTAACCACTCCCAGGCTACAGCATTAGAAGTGCAGTCACAGGGTGAAAGGTCGGGCAGAGCAGAGGCGCACATGGGGGTGAAGGGTTGGAGATTGAGCTACAGACACTACCTCAGATCACAGTCACTTCTGACAGGGAAAATACCACCCTGGGTCATTTGACTGTCCTGAGGCTTCGCTTACTAGCAATACAGAGAGTCTGGCAAAAAAGACAGAAGTCTCTTATAGTGGACAAGAACTGAGGACTCTCCGTCATTTGTGTCATTGGAGAATTTTGTATTACTTGTATCACTGGAATTAAAGGGTGCATTTGTTGTTTGGTTCTAGTCCTTCTGGCAAAAAGTTGAAATGCCTCATAAGGGATAAAAGAAGACAGGAACTAAGATTATTTTAAAAATCATATTTATGAGACTTAAATATGTATCATTCTCTAAGATGCTTTGTTTTTCCACTAAGCAGATAGCAGAAGATTGCTGCCTGACGATTGTGGGCAGTCTAGTAACATCTGGCTCTAAACTGGGCCTGGCACTTGACCAAAATGTTGACTGTCAGTTCTGGTGTATGAAGTCAGATGGAAGGATCTACAGCAAGTTGAAGCCAAATTTAGTCTTGGATATCAAAGGTAAGGGTAATTTCCTTCATTGTAATGTGTCTGTAGTTAAGGAAAAATCCGTTCCTTACTTGTGAAAATGACTATATTATTAACAGTGTAATAATTATTATGTGATTAACCGTGAGAGCCTCTACTATGTACTCGTGCGATCCTCAGATTAATCCTGAAAGTTTGTTACCCCTCGTCCCTCCGCTCTCCTTTCCAATTTTATAGCCAAAAGACCCTGACACACAGAGGGGTTAATCATTTCATTCATGATAGTTTACCTGCAGTGGAAGTGCTTAGCTTGAATTTGGACACCTGGCTGATTTCTGACCTTTTCTTTTCTTTTTTTGGTGCTGGGAATTGAACCCTGGGCCTGGCACATGCTAAGCATGTGATCTATCGCTGAGCTGCATCTCCAGCTGTTTTTAGAATAGTGTTAGTCTAAACTAACAAGTTAAATGACTGCGATTTCGCCTAATCACTATAGTTGATGATTTTCATGCGTGTACATGGAGCCTTTCATTGAAAAGATCTAAGCTCTAAAAGGAATTAATGTGTTCAGTGAAGCTAATCCTGAGTGAACTGACGGTGCAAGGGAAGCATAAGCTGGGCCAGCGGTCCTTAAACTTTATTTGCAGCAGAGTCGCTAGAGGGCTTGTTAAAACAGAAGATGATGGGCCTACCCCTTGGAGTACCTGATTCAGGAGGTCTGGAGTGGGGTCCAAGAGCTTTTCTAACAAGTTCTAGGTGCTGATGCTGCTGGTCTGAGAACCACAAAAAGAGAACCATTGATGGTAGTTTAAAAACTGACTCTAACCTCTTCGGGGGAATTCAATAAGCTAGTCTTTTTGCCAGCTCACTCGCAGAGTTTGTTGATGTCATCGGGGCTGATGTTCTTTTAAGTTATTAATGACACTTTTCTATTCCCTATCAGGAGAGCCAGCATGATTATGCTTTGTAACACAGTGAGCCATACCAAACCTCCTACTCTATTGTAAATCATTGCTAGGAGTTGGCTCTATTTTACTTTAATCGGGGCTCTAAGCCAATGCAGCAGTCTTTACAAATTAAGAGGTAAAGAAATAGCTAAAGTCTGCTTCTTAAGACACTTCTGGATAATGGAAAGTAAAGCCAGATTTTTACCAGGTGTGCCTTTGTTTGCGATCTCCGGATAGGTAGAATAGCCAACCCACTTACCAATGGGCCGAGAATCACAAAGAACTCGAGAAGTTTGGTGCTCAGAGGTACACAAGCTAAGGTACATGAAAGCAGAGGCAGAGTGCAACTTTACAGGGAGCGCAGATTAAGCAATGCGAGTAGGCTGGATGAGGACCAAACAATTCATATAAAATGTAAGTAGGATGCTTAGATACAAGAAAATAATCCTAACATTCAGAAAATGAACAGAGATATACAGCATTATTTCCCGCACATTACAAAATACCCACTTTACAGATATTCAGCCTGAAGTTGAAGCAGGTTGAGTCACTGACCCAGGCCTTTCTTTATTCTTATTTTGACCAACTTTGTGGCACTGGGGCTTCGTTCTATAAAAGATAGTAAAATCCCCAGAGAAGACAAAGAAATATGACTAAATTGGAAAAGTGGAATTTTTGAGGAATATTTAGTTCCAAAAGGAAGACTGAGCAAACTGTGTTTCTTACTGATGGGATTAGTTTTCTATGTCCAGGGTTAAGGTCACTGTCTTTCTTAGAGCATTTCTTCTTTTATTCCTTCAGCAGACTTCTTTGGTCCCCCGCAACATAGCATGCTCTGTGCTACAACACTGGGCATCCAAAGTGAGAGAAATAACTTGGCTTTACTACCTCTAGGTCCCTCCTTAGCACTTCACTTAAAGCTCCAAAGCTCCTCCCTAAAATGCATTATGTATTAGTCACGTGCCTCTTGAGTAAAGGAGTGCCCTTAATTTTTGTGAACTCCTTGTGTCTATTGTGGCAGTTACAATAGTTAATTTCTTGTTCCTTTGAGTTTGTTTCTTAGAATGTGGGTGAATGATGCCACCTTCTGGACACGAGAGAGCAGGGCCACACAGCTGCATCCTGTGCAAGGGAAATAACTCACACCTCTCCTATCTGCTGCACTTAATAGGAACCCAGAGTTTCCATGAGCTCCACCAGAACCATTGGTTACCTACTAAAACTGCCATAAGATCTATTAAGTCAAGTGTCTTTCTTCTCTCCTTGTATTTGGGAAGTAAGTTGTGGTAGACATTCAAATATTATCCCAGACCATCTTAAAACAGTGGAAACTGATCCATGCTCACTTTTAAAAGCATCACAAGTCTGGCAGGATTGTACTAAGCAAATGAATCAAGGAATTATGTAAATCACAAAAATTGAAAATGAACCAAAGTGAAGAGTAACTTCCAGGCAGTAGCTTGCTTTCTCTCTTCTCTTTTCTTAGGTAGAGTTTCACTGTGTGACCCAGGCTGGCCTCAGACATGATCCTGGAACTGCCTCAGTTCCAGGTGCTAGAGTGACAGGCCCCCACCAGGCAGTATCTTTCTATTGTAACCTGTTACTTAAGGGTATATGATTTCTTTTAAATAAGATGTAAAATTTGTTCCAAATTACTTTTTCTCAGTCCTACTTGCCAAGAACTCAAATGTGACTGACACATAGCACTCTTTCCCAAGTATACTGGCAGATGTATGTGACTTCAGAATACACAGGTGACATAGATATGAAAGGGCCACTGCTGGATTCATTTACACTGTTCATACTTTCTTGACCAGACCTTGAGGGAAAGTCAGTTTAAAAAACAAACCTACAGCCAGCATTATACTTAACGGAGAAAAATTAAAACCATTCCCTCTAAAATCAGGAACCAGACAAGGATGCCCACTATCTCCACTCCTATTCAACATAGTACTGGAATTCCTAGCCAGAGCAATTAGGCAAGAAGAAGGAATAAAAGGAATACAAATAGGTAAAGAAACTGTCAAAATATCCCTATTTGCAGACGACATGATCCTATACCTTAAAGACCCAAAAAACTCTACTCAGAAGCTTCTAGACATCATCAATAGCTATAGCAAGGTAGCAGGATATAAAATCAACATAGAAAAATCACTAGCATTTCTATACACTAACAATGAGCAAACGGAAAAGGAATGTATGAAAACAATTCCATTTACAATAGCCTCAAAAAAAATCAAATACCTAGGTGTAAACCTAACAAAAGATGTGAAAGACCTCTACAAGGAAAACTATACACTTCTGAAGAAAGAGATTGAGGAAGACTATAGAAAGTGGAGAGATCTCCCATGCTCATGGATTGGTAGAATCAACATAGTAAAAATGTCGATACTCCCCAAAGTAATCTACATGTTTAATGCAATTCCCATCAAAATTCCAATGACATTCATTAAAGAGATTGAAAAATCTACTGTTAAATTTATATGGAAACACAAGAGGCCACGAATAGCCAAGGCAATACTCAGTCAAAAGAACTATGCAGGAGGTATCACAATACCTGACTTCAAACTATATTACAAAGCAATAACAATAAAAACAGCATGGTACTGGCACAAAAACAGACATGAAGACCAGTGGAACAGAATAGAGGATCCAGATATGAAGCCACACAACTATGAGCAACTTATCTTTGACAAAGGAGCTAAAAATATACGATGGAGAAATAGCAGCCACTTCAACAAAAACTGCTGGGAAAATTGGTTAGCAGTCTGCAAAAAACTGAAACTAGATCCATGTATATCACCCTATACCAAGATTAACTCAAAATGGATCAAGGATCTTAATATCAGACCCCAAACTCTAAGTTGATACAAGAAAGAGTAGGAAATACTCTGGAGTTAGTAGGTATAGGTTAAGAACTTTCTCATGAAACCCCAGCAGCACAGCAACTAAGAGATAGCATAGATAAATGGGACCTCATAAACTAAAAAGCTTCTGTTCATCAAAAGAAATGGTCTCTAAACTGAAGAGAACACCCACAGAGTGGGAGAAAATATTTGCCAACTATAATCAGACAAAGGACTGATAACCAGAATATAGGGAACTTAAAAAACTAAATTCTCCCAAAACTAATGAATCAATAAAGAAATGGGCAAGTGAACTAAACAGAACTTTCTCAAAAGAAGAAATTCAAATGGCCAGAAAACACATGAAAAAATGCTCACCATCTCTAGCAATAAAGGAAATGCAAATTAAAACCACCTAAGATTCCACCTCACCCCTGTTAGAATAGCCATCATCAGCAACACCACCAACAACAGGTGTTGGCGAGGATGTGGGGAAAAAGGAACCCTCTTACACTGTTGGTGGGAATGTAGACTAGTACAACCACTCTGGAAAAAAATTTGGAGGCTACTTAAAAAGCTGACATCGATCTACCATTTGATCCAGCAATACCACTCTTGGGGATATACCCAAAGACTGTTACTCCTCCAGAGGCACCTGCACATCCATGTTTATTGCGGCACTATTCACAATAGCCAAGTTATGGAAACAGCCAAGATGCCCACCACTGACGAATGGATTAAGAAAATGTGGTATCTATACACAATGGAATTTTATGTAGCCATGAAGAAGAACGCAATGTTATCATTCACTGGTAAATGGATGGAATTGGAGACATCATTCTGAGTGAGGTTAGCCTGGCTCAAAAGACCAAAAATCGTATGTTCTCCCTCATATGTGGACATTAGATCAAGGGCAAACACAACAAGGGGATTGGACCTTGAGCACATGATAAAAGCGAGAGCACACAAGGGAGGGGTGAGGATAGGTAAGACACCTAAAAAACTAGCTAGCATTTGTTGCCCTTAATGCAGATAAACTAAAGCAGATACCTTAAAAAGCAACTGAGGCCAAGGAAAGGGGACCAGGAACTGGAGAAAAGGTTAGATCAAAAAGAATTAACCTAGAAGGTAACACCCACGCACAGGAAATCAATGTGAGTCAATGCCCTGTATAGCTATCCTTATCTCAACCAGCAAAACCCCTTGTTCCTTCCTATTATTGCTTATACTGTCTCTACAACAAAATTAGAGATAAGGGCAAAATAGTTTCTGCTGGGTATTGAGGGGGGGGAGCGGGAGGGGTGGAGTGGGTGGTAAGGGAGGGGGTGGGGCAGGGGAGAAATGACACCAAGCCTTGTATGCACATATGAATAATAAAAGAAAAATGAAAAAAACAACAACAACAACAAAAAAAAAACAGGTAGTGTCTTCCTGTCTCCAAATACATGTCAAAAAATAATGGTGTTTGTACTTCAGATTTACCTCTCTGTCAGGGATTCCAATAGAATATTGACATTAAAGAAAAGAAAAGGCCAGGGATAATTTAAATTCTCCCAAGGCAAA